TTTAAAGTGGTAGCGAGACTCATGTTATTCCAATTAACTTTTTGAATTATAATGATAATTATAAATGAGTTTGACCACCACTACATATAAATATATAAAAGCATAATAACTAATACGAAAGCGAATTTCTACGTAGTCAAAATACAGTTATATGTTTGAGTCAGATTGTTTTTCGTTTATTGTTTTACTATTGTTAGTTTAATCATATATATAATCAATGTTAATTCAAAGTATAACTAAATAGTTTTATTTTGAACAAATTAATGGTGAATTAAATAAATAAAAAAATTATAACTCCGCCCACAAATAAACTGCTAAAGAAATACTTTGATTTCCAGTTTTATCTTCTTACCCTGATTGATACGGTTTTTTGCTGTCACGTATTTGTGACAGTCGGCGTGAAAGGGTTAAAGTGGCTCATATTTTCCTTCAAGTATAAATTCAGGATCGAATAATAAAATTTTACTAGGGTTAATTTACACTATCACCTGGTTCATTCTATGGATGGGCACTCTATGGGCAAGCAAATTCGAACCATTGAGCGTCGTAGCTACAATTTCTGAAAAGCGGTTCAAAAATAAATCACGATACTGGTATTTTAAACCATAATTCCGTTCAAATGTGCTTCAGCTTTAACACTGTGCTAAGAGGACGCACATTTCAGTTCAAATTAAACGTGAGAATCGTGTAATCGAGTTTTCGAAATTTGCACGAGAGTCTAGTTCAACTTGGGAAGTAAATTCGATCCTTTCACAATCCTCAAACGAAGCTTTAATGAGGTCTAATGTTTTCTTTCAAGTTGAACTTTAGAATCGTGTTATCAAATTTTAAAAGTAATAATTTACATGATTCCATGGTTCTTGGTAAGCAAGTACGAACGATATTAGAATATCTAACTCCACAATATCCAAGAGTGTAGCTGCCTTTTAGTGCAAAGCAGAATATAACACAGTAATATAAATTGCAAATTTTATTTATTGCTGATTGAATGATACAATGAATTATTTTCTTTTTAGGTTGAGATTTCAAGCACAGCATACCGTTAGATGGAGAACTTCATTTGTCAGCTTTTGGGAAAGAAGGGGTAACTATGGATATAAATGGAGGCATGCTTATGTTCATGTTAAAAGCAGCTTGAACAGTCCAAAAGTAAGTTACGGAACAGGAATCTTATTTAGTATTAATAAAATTCCATTATTATTATCCTTATTTTGAATATATTTACTTAATGCGCTAATTTTTATGCAAAACACTGTATGTTATTTTAATGATATAGCACAAATTATTTACTTATTAATCAATTAATTTTAATATTAATTTGGAATTTTATTTAAATTCGTGAAGCTGAACCAAATGTATTATTTGGACATCAAAGCTATTTAAGCGAAAAAACAACTCATGTCTTTACTTTTATGTGGTAAAATAAACATGTTCTTCCTAAAAATACTCTTTAAATTATATTATATTAATACCAAGAGAGTATTATTAAAATACAATTTTGACTTTCTATTATATTTTATTAATGAAAAACGAAATATTATGCGAAATATTATTAAGTGTTACTTTAAATATAACAATGGCTTACAAGAAATAAATGTAGATGCAAAAATATAAATAATCGTAATAAACATTAAAAAAAATTTTTTTTCATGTAAAAAAGGAATAAATTAGTGAAATTTTAAGAGTCCATTTGCTATGCATATTATATTTGCATGTATTTCAATTAACACTTATATAATCTACTTTTCCAAATGTAGAGTTAAAAGATACATCATCCCCTTTTTAATATTAAGAAAACTAGAGCCCCTGAATTAGACAGGCCGACTTTCTAAACGATGCATAGGCTTATATAATTCACCACTTTATAGTACTTATTACATTGCCATACCCTCCCGCTTATGAGGATTTTGAAAATAATTCTTTCTAGTGGTAGCGAAATAAAGTAGAAATTTTTAAAGCAAATGGATCTCTCACAAAACTTTTATCAGAACTTAAGAATCTAGCCATATGGCCTGCACTTTTATAAGTAATAGTGGACAAGTTACGCTAAAATTAATTTTTTTTAAATATTAAGACATTAATTTTGCTACCGTCTGAAAAGAAGATTTCTGAAACTACGGAAATTCCGTAGCAGTTGGAGGGTATGCATTGTTCTTTACATTTTTAAAAGCAAGCAAATATTGTCAACTATTTGCAAAATTTACTTTGCTGATATTTACCGTTTTTTAAATTATTTTGGCGTATCCGACGCAGTTGGCATCTCTGTAATAACATAACTAATACTAACATAACGTTAACTTGCGAACTTGTTTGCTCCAATATTGCTTGATAGGTCAGCTCTGATAGTATAGGAGTCTTGAAGAAAGCAATTACTAATATTGTAATAATAGGGCCAAAGATTTTTTTTTTGTTGTTAGTTTGAATAAAATCATTTTTCAAATTTGATTCGAATTGTTTGTTTTAGATATCATTTGCTGGTCGAGTGAAAACCGGTGTAATAGCAATTGATGACATTGAAGCAAAAGGAGGATCTTGTCCACCGTCAAGTAAGATTATTTCAATATTAAGGCAATATTCAATTAAATATAGGATTATTAATATGAATATTATTTTAAATATAGCATTATTTCAATATAAAGAAAGGCAATATTAAGTACCACTGATGGCACTTAATATTACCTTTTTTCTAAATATACCTTCATGTTTAAGTCATATTGGTACAGAAATTAATGACACAAATGATGTCGCAAGGTGAAATACAACTTATGAACAAAAAAAAAAAAAAAAAAAANAAAAAAAAAAAAAAAAAAAAAAAAAAAAAAAAAAAAAAAAAAAAAAAAAAAACCGAATGGCACATTAGTTAAAATTATTGACCAAATCAATGCGCTTTCACTATTTGTCTGTTTGTTCCCAGTACCCAGATAACTGTGCATGGAAAATCATTCTGTAGTAATGTTGGTGCACCTCTTATAAATAATTGCAAGCAATTCTTCTGTAAATTGAAAGTGATTGACTCTGACATGCTTTAATTTTAATTCCTGGCACAATCAATGCACTACAACCTCTTAGGAGTGCATTGTGAATCGGCTTTGGTGAATCATTCTATGGCTTTGCGAGCTTTGATAAATCATTCTATATTAGAGCTCGATCACCTAAAGACAATTGCATGCAATTCTTTGAAGGATTAAAGGTGCTGGGCTTAGAATCGCTCTAACTTTTTTTGCATCTCGTTAAATGTTATGTACTTGCCACGGCTGTCTTGTTTGTTGCTATTTGGGATGTTTTTTTATTGTGGCCTCCATTCCGCTGCTGAACTTGGCCATAGTTGTACTCTTTAAGGGTGCACAGGGCTGAAAGCCAATATATATCGAGACGGAAAAGAGTAAAAACTGGAAACTAATACTTTTTTTTCGAGAATAATAAAAATCTATAACTACCAATTGTTCTTAACGGATACAATTTATATTGAATTGCTTCATCGAAGTGAACAATTTTCGTTACAGTGAATTGCTATTGTTGAGAATAGATTAACTCCTCCCGAATATTATCTAATATTGAAATAGTTCTTCTACCAGTATTTTCTCTTTTTCGTCCCGCTTTCGGGCATGGGTGAAAGCCCTTATATAGCAAGACGGAAAAGAGAAAAACCTGGTACGTAAAACATTTCATTCCAGCATTTTTTTCGAAAAAAATGAAATATCTGTAACTATCAAGATTTCTTTTATAATTCTGGCATATATATAAAACTGCTTCTTTTCCAAGATAGAGTAGATATTGTTGAAAAATTAAAAAAAAAGAATAAGTAAACTCCTCCCCAAAACTAGCTATAACTGAAATGGTTTTACTACCAGCTTTTCCTCTTTTCCGTCTCGCTTTCACCCCTGCCTGAGGGTGCATCGTTTGGACACATCGTCAGCATTCGATGATAGATCTCATCATTCTGTTCCCTCTCCTTCCATCGAAACCACGTTGTCTGACGCTGACTGAGACGGACACCTTCTAGTCATAGGTGTCCACGATCTCGATAACTGTGGCAAAAGTGAGATGAACCTTTTTTTTCCATATATATTCAATGCCGGAGTGAACATAGCTTTTTTAGCCCCAAAAATACAAAAAATGGATACACGAACAAGAATTAATATCAAGTAAAATACAAACAAATAAAACTAAACAGTGAAATAAGGGAAAGAGTCAAAGAGTGAAATATGTAAAAGTTTCTGAGCCTCCCAAAGAGTGGGAGTAAATATAGATCCCTTCTTCAGAGCGAGGTGGAGGAGTGGAGTGATTCGCAATCATCACCAGGTTGCAGCAGCACAGGGGACAAGCAATGCTGCTTTCAGCTTTAAGTCTGTAAAGGAGACATAGAGGAAATCGTGCATGATCGCCAATCGAAAAACAGAGAATACCAGGAATCTTAACCTTTTCGAACCTGACGGGACATATATGTCCTGTCAGACGCTCCAAGTAGAATGCTACATCACAGTCTTTTGAATTTCCTTCCTTTTATTTGTAACTTGAAAAACTGATTCTAAAACTCGCAAAGCTTAAAGCATTTTACGCTTTTGTGAAAATGTATGCATTATTTCGTGAGAAAAACAGAGGAAATAAAACTGAGGAAAAAATTGAGTGTCATAATATAAGTATTATGTATACTTTTCTTTAAACCATAATTTGAATGATTTTATGGTTTCTCATTTTATTATCATGTGTTACTCTTGGACACTGGTGAGAAACATGTGTCCCACTCAAAAAGACGAATGGGACATCGATATTCTAGGGCCTAGTTGCAAGAAGTGTGATTCCATATTTTTAAAAAAACTTATTTGTAATATCATCGATGGTGAAAAAAACTGTGCTGTTATAAGAAAAGCTTATAAGAAAGAAAAAAATGGGAATTAGTCTTTAAAGGGTTAAGGATCGTTCCTCTCCATTGATCCTTGATCTTTCTTTTAACTTGGATAAATGCACATCTTTTTCAGCTAAATTGATCCCTGGAGCAACAGACCTGTTGAAAACCTCTTCAAAAAGATTTGTTGTACGGTACATTCTTTTTAAAGGCCGAGAAATTGTTACTCTTCCCTAATATTTGAGAACTATATCCCATTGTTCTCTTGACACCATCTTGCATTCCACGTAGCTCACATCTTTTTATGCAAATATGCTGATATCAGCTGTCCGTGGTTTTGAACGATTCTAGTAATGTGGGCCCATTTTTAAAACTTCAAACAATTTGCACAGATATTGAAATAAATAAAGTTTTGTATATGTCAATCTGAATAACTTTTTTTATAATATTGTAATTTAATGATGTAAGTAAATTTTTTTTAAAATAATAAGTTGTATGTTTTTTTTTAGAAATGTGCACATTTGATGACGACGATGATATGTGCAGCTACACTCAAGACTCTAAAAATAATATGGATTGGGATGTGAGATCAGGCGAAGATAACGGAACATTAGTTAAAATTACAGACCACACGACGCAATCTATTGAAGGTAAGTTTTAGTTTTTCTTTAAAAGAATTTATATATATTCTTTTTTCCCATTTGAGAATTATTTGCAATTCTAAAACTTTCCAAAAAACTTAAACCAAGACATACTATCTTGCCCAGCACTTCCTTTGTTTTGAAACAGGTGAGATCTAAGATCTATAGTGCGATCTTCAGAAAATTGCAGTGAGCAAGTAAATATAAGAAGCCAATGCTATTTATTTCCCGAGTAGGAAATTTTGAAAAAAAAGAGATAAAACTCGAAAGCACACTAATACTGCCGTTAATGCTTTGTAAATAAGATAAGTCAGTAATATAAAAAGTTAAGGTTTGTCACTAGGTCGGGATAAACATTCTGATCAAGCACTGAAGATAACTATTATTATTTGAACTTTATTCATGAACTCTCAGATTTGTCACAAATATTAAAACTTTCAAATATTGTACTCTGAAAAAAATAATTTATGTAGTTTTAAGTATCGCAAGTTTATTTACATGTATCCGATTAGTATTAAAGTGAACAAAAGTTTTTTAAATATGCTTGATAATTAACCCAGAAATGACCACACCTGAGAACATGTTACTATAAGATTATTCTTAGTCTTATTTTCTCTATTTGAGTACGAAATTTCGCAATTGCGCCAATTTTAAAACTAAGAAGTAACGTTATGTGTACTACTAATGTTTACTATTAGATAGATATACCAGTTTAGTGTAAAAGTGCACGGTAAATGTTTTAATATGCTAGATAATTAACAAAGTGATGACTACACATGTTACTGAACATGTTACTATAAGATTATTTTCTTAATTTCTTTATATGGGTTCTGGTATATTATATGGATATAGATTCCAAACCTGTGTTAATTTTAAAACTAATTAGTAACGTTATGCCAACTGCTAATGTTTACCGTTTTGTTATGATAATGTCTTGTTTATTACTTAGTAATGATGTTAAATCGTTGTGTTTGGTTACATATATCCATTAAAAATGCAAACTAGATGTTTAAAAATACTAGATAATTAAACCAGAAATGGTCATAGTTCTTAGTGAACTTCTATCTATTAAATTAATCTTATTCTTAATTTCTTTTTTTGGGCAGGAAATTTTGAACAACAAAATTCGAAACGTAAGAAAAGAAAATACCTACTTAATTTCAACGTAAATGTCTTACTACTTTTTCAGAAATACAACTTATATCATCACTGCTATGATAAATTTAAAGTTTAATAAAAATAATAAATTCAAATTACATATGGAATAAGTATTTTTTTACCGCTGGAGATTTAAGCCTACTTCCACAATTTCATAATTATGAAATAATTTTTACTTACAGGAAAGTATCTCTACATTGGTGTTAATGGCACAAGCAACGAAAAATCTCTGCGCTCTCGCATATACAGTCCAAAGCGACCTGCTTCTGAAGCATCTAGCTGTGTCACATTTTACTATCATATTTACAACGTCAGCAAACTCGCACTTAACACCTATGTCGCTACAGATAATGGCATTTCGGATCCCCAGTGGTCAGTATCTATTGGTCAAGGAGTTCTCTGGCATGGGGCTCGCTTCACTGTTATATCAAAACAACTTTCTTGGCAGGTAAATATAATTTGATATCAAAAGATTTTATTTCAATAATTTCAAAAAAACTACCTTTATCTGCTGCTTATTATGTGACAAGTTTCATGTACGATTAATGATGGATAATTACGATGTATGATTTTTGATGGATAACTTACGAAGATATAAGTCTTTTTTAGAAGTTTTTTTCTACGCCTTTTTAACAAAGAAAAGAAAATTCACAGTTTGAGTACCTCACACTTGAAGTAAAGCTTTGATTTCATACTATTTATTTTAACTTAGTTTAGTGAACTGTTTGGTCTCAGAATTGAACTTTTCAGCCCTCACGGAATAGACGAGGTTTTTCCATTTGTGAAAAATTATTTAAAACAATGAATAATTTTTTTTTCATACTTACTATGCCAAAAAATCGTTTAATACAATGAACATTTATCGTTTTTGGCTCATTTTTTTTGAGTTCAAGCAATATGGGGAGGAAAAATATTGAAAAATTAGATCACACACGCATTTCTTTTTAAATGGCAGCAACATTTCTTTATGTTGACATTTTGCGCCATTTTCATAATTATGAGCAAAAGGCGTTGCTTAAAGGTGAAAAAAAAACGCAGCTTAGTATCAGTATTGCATGAATGACTGTTAGAAACTCTCAACAGTTTCAAAAAAAAGAAAAAAAACATCGCTTTCTTTGCTCCGAAAAGTAGCATTTCATTTGACAACAGAACCTCCAATCTACTTTTAATTCAAGCAAAAGCAACGAAACATAAATTCTAACTAACTTAGTCTTCGCTCGAATTTATGTTTAAACTTAGTAATTTAGGTGTTTTGCTCTTTAATTTATACATAAACTAAGTAATTTATGCTTCAGTCTTTAATTTAATTTTCCACTTAAACAGCAGACACCTAAATAACAAAAAATATCGACAGAAAAATTATGACTATTTGACTTATGAACCGATATTTTTATGAATAATGTGCGTGAGATAACATACTACATAAACTCACTAATTTATGCTTCAGTGTTTAATTTAATTTTCCATTTAAACTGCAGACACTTAAATATAAAAAAATATCGACAGATAAATGATGATAATTTGACTTATGAACCGATATTTTTATGAATAATGTGCGTGAGATAACATAATACATAAACTCACTAATTTATGCTTCAGTGCTTAATTTAATTTTCCACTTAAACAGCAGACACCTAAATAACAAAAAATATCGACAGAAAAATTATGACAATTTGACTTATGAACCGATATTTTTATGAATAATGTGCGTGAGATAGCATAATACATAAACTCACTAATTTATGCTTCAGTGATTAATTTAATTTTCCATTTAAACTGCAGACACCTAAATATAAAAAAATATCGACAGATAAATGATGATAATTTGACTTATGATCCGATATTTTTATGAATAATTTGCGTGAGATAACAAAATACATAAACTTAGTAATTTATGCTTCAGTCTTTGATTTAATTTTCCATTTAAACTGCAGACACCAAACTAACAAAAAATATCGACAGAAAAATGATGATAATTTGACTTATGAACCGATATTTTTATGAATAATATGCGTGAGATAAAAAAGAAATAAAAAAATTAAGCAATTATCTTTTATTTTTTAAGGTTGTTTTTGAAACAGAAGTTGGAAATGGTGGTTACGGTCAAGTAGCAATTGATGACATTACAATAGTCAACCGAGCTTGTAATGATCCAGGTAAACTGTTATTATTGTTTCTATAAGTTTAATATAATAAGGTACGAACAAAATTATTGTGTAGCATTTTGAAGATTTGGTTTGCTTCTTTATTTCGGTTTAAAAAATATTATAACTAATAATGAAAAATTGAATAGTAAGTATATATTCTCTTAAAATGTAGCGTCCAATATATCGGGCAGCATTTAGTTTAATTTTATCACTTAAAGCAATAATATTTTAGAATTATTTTTTTTGTTCGAATGACTTTACAAAGTGAATCTCTATGTAAAAATGTAATCGAATTTTTCTTCGTTGGTTGGAATTTTCAATCGCAATGAAAAATCGTAAGAAAGGTGGAAAATTATTCGATTCAAGTAATTTTTAAGAAAGCTTTATGAGATATAAATATCTTATTATTTGAGTTTAATCGATATCGTTTCATGATCAAAATAAGAAGAAATACACTATAAAAATATCCTACAGTAGGCAAAAATTTCTAAAAATTAAAATTTATAATTTGTGAAATATTTAAAAATAATCAAAAATATTCCTTAAGTTTAATTAATTTAGTTTTTTTAAAAATATTTTATTACATTCATGAATTTACTTACTTGAAAACTACATATTCCTAAGTAAAACTCGCATACGCTGCCATTATTTAAAGCTCGGATTTCGAAATGCTTTATAATATTAAAGATAAGTTTGCAACAATCCTAAATGTGGAATAACTTTTGATCTTATAATTCGATTTTCGCTACTCTGGTTGAAGAACTTTACTAATAAAAATTTTCAATAAAACAAAACGAGACATTAACTTTGATATCAGCACACATTTCTAAAATTGTAATCTTTTTAAATTAAAAATTTTAATAAAAAAATATGGTCGTAAAAATTAATAAGTTTAATAATATGAAATTAAAAATTTCTGTATTTCTGTCAACAGTGTTAGGTATTATGTATATATATGTTTTCTGATTAACAGGTGCATGTGATTTCGAAGAAGAGAACTGCCTTTGGGAAAATGTCCGGCCGCCTATTGAAGTAAAAGACGCTCCTGTATTAAGTAAGTATCATACTCATTATGAGCTTTTTTAGCATGTTAAAACTTAATTTCTGGTGGATGGTTCTTAAGTTGGCACGGGTGTAAATCTTTTTCGTAATTTTAAATTTTTTTATTTTTATTTTATATTTTTATATCAGACACTGAAATTTCCCCTCAAAAGCTCTGAAGATAATCACTTTATCATATATTATAAATCAAATAGGTGTAGCATTTAGCAAGTCATTGACACAAGACAACTATAAAGAGAAAATAACAGAGTGACACTAGAGAACAAAATACTGAACAATTATAAATAATTTATATTAAAAAAAAACACTTAGGCGCGTTTTGTAGTAACGAGATGCGCCCTGAATTAAGCAAAAATATATTTTAATAACTTAATCATTATATTTGTGCAGCAAAGAATTAACGTAGAAAATTATTTCAGGAGCTCTGTCTGCTGATGTACCGACTGATATGTTGAAAGATGACTTTGACTGGATTCGTTGGATTGGGGAAGAATATTTCGGACCACCAAGAGATCACACACTAGGAACACCTCAAGGTAAATCAATACATTATCTCTTCCTAGGAAATCAATAGTACAACGAAATTAAGAAAAAATCAGTGAAATAAATTCATTGTTCCACTATAACATTAACTCCGAACTAAAGCAATTAGCATATTATTAATATATTATTGTTAAAATACTTGTATCACTGATATTTATTATTTTTTTAAGGTTTTTACATGCTTCTGGATCCAAGATTCACCAGCTTTGGGAAGACAGCTGTTTACATGTCTGAGCGCTTACGTGCACCGTCCGGTGTCTGTCTGAAGATATGGTACGCCATACCCAGTTATCAGAATGGAGCAACTCTGCAAGTGTTTGTCAGTAGTGACTTTAAAAAAGCAGATCAACTTATGTTGATCAAAGACCCTACGAATGCAGAATGGAAGGAAGCCTTAGTGTCTGTGATACCCTCACCAGTGATGGATTCAGCATTTAATGACTTTTGGGTGGGTTTGCTTTGTGAAACGAAACAATATTTTGTACTTCATAAAGTGTCAATTGATAATTTCTCTCAATAGAAAACGGAAATGAGAAATCTTATTTTCTTTGAAAAAAGGAGCAATTAATAACGTTTGGAGGGATTTGCTTCACAAATCGCAAACAATATTTTATCATTCCTAAATAATAATAAATAGATTATTTCTTCTTGAAGGAATGTGAAATGCAAAAGTAAGAAGTCCTAATGTCTTTAAAAATAGGAACATTAGAACAATAAGAACACTCAGGTGAATTTGCTATGTAAGACAAAACAATATTTTATCATTCATAAAATATAAATAGATTATTTCTTCTTGAAGGAAAGTGAAACGCAAAAGTAAGAAGTCCTAATGTCTTTAAAAATAGGAACATTAGAACACTTAGAATCGGAACATTAGAACAATAAGAACACTTAGGTGAATTTACTATGTAACTACTACAAAACAATATTTTATCATTCATGAAATATAAATAGATTATTTCTTCTTGAAGGAAAGCGAAACGCAAAAGTAAGAAATCCTAATGTCTTTAAAAATAGGAACAGTAGAACACTTAGAATAGGAACATTAGAACAAAAAGAACACTTGGGTAAATTTACTATATAAGACAAAACAATATTTTATCATTCATAAAATATAAATAGATTATTTCTTCTTGAAGGAAAGTGAAATACAAAAGTAAGAAGTCCTAATGTCTTTAAAAATAGAAACGTTAGAACACTTAGAATAGGAACATTAGAACAATAAGAACACTTAGGTGAATTTACTATATAATTACTACAAAACAATATTTTATCATTCATAAAATATGAATAGATTATTTCTCTTGGTAACACGAAATTAAAAAGTCTTAATATCTTTGAAAACAGGATCATTTAATAACGCTGGCATGATTTAGCTTTATAAGACGAAACAATATTTTATCATTTATGAAACATGAATAGATTATTTTTTCGAGAGGGAAAGTAAAATACGAAAGTAAGAAGTCTTAGAAAGTAAGAACATCCATTGATTTTCGGGTGGGTATGATTTGTAATACCCAACAATCTTTTGTTATTAATAAAATTTGAATTGCTTATTTCTCCCCATGGAAAGTATATTTTAATGTAATAGGTCATAATATCTTTGAACATAGAATCACTTAAATTATTTTAGGGATTTTAAAACTTTAATTATGATTTTTCAACTTTCCACATATTCTGTCTAGATGTTTGGATTACTTTTAAGAGAGATATCGTCATCAATTGTATACAATATAACAGCATACATAAAATTTTTGATGTATATTAAACTCAGTGGCGCGACAGCCCGTTGAGGGCCAAGGCCTACTGTGCCCATCTCAGTTTTCTTAACCTTTAGGCTCTGGGGTGCAGGAGCAGATGTTCCGATTAGGTGGTCAGCCGAACGCGGAACACCCAGTGTTTAGTTCCCAAGCATGTTTGGTACTCATTTATCGACCCACTGAAGGGATAAAAGTCTGAGTCAACCTTGCCCGGTCCGAGGATCAAACCAGGGACCTGTGGCACGACAGCGCGGAGCACTACCGCTCATCCACCGGTTTACATTCTTCTGTCACTTTCAAATCAACTGTCAATGTTATTTAGATACTTTGTTTCAAATATATGTATTTAAACGGCAAATTAGATAATCAAAGTCAAGTCATTATTTGGGGACGGAAGTTTGCATCAGTTAATCAAATCAATTGCCCCAAGTCAATGAAATATTGTTTGCTGAAAATTTTATGCGAGTTATAAATGTCAGAATAAGGTATTCCAATTAAGTAGCTTAGAACCAAAATTGCCTGTGCTAATTAACTGTGCTTATACCAAAATTGTCTATGATAAAATCATCCATGACTTCCATGAATAAAAAGAAAGAATCTGATAAATCACTATTATATCTCTATATCTAAATCTCTCTAATCTCTATTTGTCTTTATACTGTTTATTTATATACATTTAGTAGTTAGTGGGCCTAAAACTTTTTTTACAATATTAGTGATCCGTTGCAATTGAAAAAATTGGGAATTTTATATGAGGTTATTTTAATGAGGGTTAATTAATTACGTATTATGAGAAGTTTGAGTAAAAATGAAAAGTGGTAGAATAATCTTATAAGTTTTAGTTTTGTGTTAAAGAAAATATGTTTATAAGAAAGAGTCAAAGAAACTAATAAACCATTTTTTAATGTTTAATTAATTAATTCTTTTTAATTTTTATTCAGGTATTTTTGTTGGGTAAAGCAGGTAATAACACTATGGGATACATTGCAATAGACGTTTAATTAATTACTTATTTTTAATTTTTATTCAGGTATTTTTGTTGGGTAAAGCAGGTAATAACACTATGGGATGCATTGCAATAGACGTTTAATTAATTAATTCTTTTGAATTTTTATTCAGGTATTTTTGTTGGGTAAAGCAGGTAATAACACTATGGGATACATTGCAATAGACGATATTTCTGTCTCGGAAGGCATTTGTGAAGGTAAGAAAAAGAAAGTTTTTATATTTGAATTTCTCGACATAAGCATTCTTCGCTATTTTAAAATTAAACAGTTTTACTGAAGAATTGTTTTATTTACTGCAATTTTATCTATCGTGTTTTATAAGTGTGATTCAATTTCTATGTAAGTAATTTTTCACTTTATTTTGAAAAGCAAAAAAATTTACAGACTAAAAGAAAACTTAAATTACTCGGTGACGAAAAAATAACATCTCAATAACCTTGTGACCAACATTATTTTTCTGCAGAAATTCTGAAGAAATAATGTATAGCGGTAACCAAGATTTTATGCGTATTAATACGCGTTCACAAAACTGAAAAAAATAATTTTTTTTATAAGCCGCTCTATATTAGTGTCAAATTAGTGTATATCTTAGTGTCAAACTCATAACAAAGTAAACAATGATGATTATGTTCAGAGATAATAATATTACGATTGCTTATGTATTAGGTAAAACATTTTATTTCAAACATAAAACATTAAGTAACCGTTTTGTAGCAAACTCTCTCGTTTGCTCTTTTCATTTCACGAGATGTTCATTCCTGTAATAACAGTGCAAACTCTCTCGTATGCACTTTTCATTTCACGAGATGTTCATTCCTGTAATAACAGTGCAAACTCTCTCGTATGCACTTTTCATTTCACGAGATATTCATTCCTGTAATAACAGTGCAAACAAACTATCTCGTATGCACTTTTCATTGCACGAAATGTTCATTCCTGTAATAACAGACCAAACTCTCTCGTATGCACTTTTCAGTTCACGAGATGCTCATTCCTGTAATAACAGTAAAGCTCGGATTTAATGTATCTAGCGAATAACGTTTCCTGCTTTTAACGACTTTTCCACTTGGACTCCCTATATTTCTTATATCAATAGTTTAAAAGTATTTAGAGAGTCCTCTAATACTATTTCCCTTAAATCCGAGTCATCTTTCATCCAACTGTTAGTTGATAATTTAAGTGATTTGATGAGTATAAAAGCCCAAAGTGACATTAATCATCGCTCAGTGTACTAGAAATTGGACTTAAAAATGTTTAAATAGAGCATTTTCCTGTAATTTGCACGAGTTAGCTTCAACCATGAGATCTAGGAATAATAAATTCTTTAAAAAATTAGTGCAGAAAACAGCTTGTGAAAATGGTGCTAGATAAGTTGGAGTCTTGTGTAATTTGTAATATCCACCGAAAAAAATTAAAGGCGTTATAAGCCTTAAGCTTAAAATTTTCCACCTGGAAAGAAAATTTCAAAGATTGTATTGTTAATGGTTTCATAATACGTAGTTTTAAATCAATTCTGACAAACATGATTCTGGTACGAAAACACTTATTAAATATTGTGCCTGATACCGATTTTATGAAGCATTCGCATTGTGTCAAAGATCGGATGGCTTTGTGAATCATTTCCAGACAAACCAAGGCAATTTCAACAGTTTTAATGGTTTATGGAATCTAATAGGGATGAGGAAGATTGAATCTTTAGATCTACCACCATCATTTAATGAAGCAGCAGTTATGCTATCGAGACAAAAAAAATTTTCTTCCAAGGACATGAAGAACAAGAAAGATAAATGGATGTTTTTTTAAGGTTGGAAAATTCATCGTGTAGTATAATACAAAAAAAAAGGGAAAACATCAGATTCGGATTTTTTTTTAATTAAAGTAAAATAAGCTTTTTTTGTTTGCTAAATATAGACGAGAAAAAGGGAAAACATTAGATTCGGATTTTTTTTAATTAAAGTAAAGTAAGTTTTTCTTGTTTGCTCAATATAGACGAGAAAAAGGGAAAACATTAGATTCGGATTTTTTTTAATTAAAATAAAATAAGCTTTTTTTTTGTTTGCTAAATATAGACGAGAAAAAGGGAAAACATTAGATTCGGATTTTTTTTAATTAAAGTAAAGTAGGTTTTTCTTGTTTGCTCAATATAGACGAGGAAAAGGGAAAACATTAGATTCGGATTTTTTTTAATTAAAGTAAAATAAGCTTTTTTTGTTTACTAAATATAGACGAGAAAAAGGGAAAACATTAGATTCGGATTTTTTTAAAATTAAAGTAAGCGGAGCTTAAACCCCGACCCGTCCCATAGAGGGACATCCGGGAAATACGTGAAGACTATCGTAGCTGCAATCCTCGAATCAGTCGGAGGACCCGGTGGTGCATGGACACATGGTTCCATGGCCCCGAGTCACGCCCGACAAGAGCAACACTGTCGTTCGAAGGGCAGAGGAGGCCGAAGGGACAAGCCCGAGACGGGTGCGGCGGTGCCATGTTCGGCTGTGTTACACTTGTAACATCTAAGTGGTCTTAAGTATTCTTTGGCCCGATGGACGGACCAACCAATTTTAAGTTTTGTCCTTCTCATAATTAATTATGAGAAGGACAATTAAAGTAAATTAAAGTAAAGTAAATTTTTCTTGTTTGCTAAATAAATTGCAATATAGTTACTGATTGTAAATTTTCATGTTCCCGGTATATAATGATATCTCGTTCTTTATGACATTTCGGTCCAGTCCTACGAGTGTCATTAAGTCGAGGTACTACTGTATTTCTAAAATAATAACTCTTCATAGATGTTTCAAATAATTGAACTGATATAAAATTGATAACATTTGTTCTAATATTTCCACAGAAAAAACTGAATTGTTTGATTGCAAAAATGGACAACACGTATTGACACGCGATGTGTGCAATTTTAAAAAGGACTGTTTGAATGGTTTGGATGAAGAAAATTGTGCTGATTGTGATTTTGAGAAAGGACTTTGTGGTTGGGTCGGAAGCAACGATTACTATTTCAAGTGGTCCTGGGAAAGAGCTAGAAGAAAAGATCTGTCACTGGATCATACAAAAGGAGATTCATCAGGTAATTTTTTTAAAGGAAAAAAAATCATCACAAATTGTTTTTTTAGATATCAAGGTAAACTCCACACAATTGAACTAAAATGGAGTTGGAACTACGCTTTGTTTACAACTCACTTTTCTGTTAGTAATGATGAGTAATCAATTGCACTTCAAATTTCAATCGCTTTTTGATTAGCAAGAGCGATCAACTCTCTAATTAAGATCAGTGCTCAATGCTAATGCAAGTTTCAATCGATTTCTAACCGATATAAACAGAATTTATCGTTATATTAATTGGAGCCCTCGTCAGTGAAATTTTGACTGCACTGTGAAAAAAAACTCTTTAACCAGTATTTGGTGCAAAGTTTCTTATTATCCCAAAGTTTAGTTAAATGGAGGTCAATTTTATTTCAGTTGCACCATAAATTGTGAAGCATGATCGAGTAATACTTCCATGGTGCAACTGATTGCACCAAAAACTTGGTAAAGGACGTGAAACTTTGACGGTGACTGTAAGCTGAACGATTTTTGTTTACGACGCCATGCTTTCTTTACAACTCGGTCTCGGTGTATCGGGACGACTAATGCATGTTGTTTCAAGTATCAACTTATTTAGGGAGATAAATGTTTTATTTGCATTAATTAAAGTTCATTTCCTTTTTAAGGTGATTTTTTAAATTTGATTGGCTGTGTAAAATGGTTAGAGGTCATAAAATTACCTACTTCCGGCAAATAGTTTTGTTCGAGTAAATAGCAGCCTTAGCTCTTTAAACATACCTAATAGTAGTATAACTTTTCCCTGCTTTTATAAAAATAAAAAAAAGAAAGAATGAAATTAGGCGTTTTGTTTCCTAAAAACACCTACTTTTGGTGCAACTTTCTACTGCTGTTCGGAGCTAGTGAAAATTCCAAAATATGGCAAAATTGAGCTCCCTTTTACGTAGCCAGCAAATGAATACCAATTTTTGGTGCAACGTGGCTCTGAATTTTTAACAGTGTACTTATTTGAACACTAATCTTATAACTGAAACTTTTTGCTAGACGACACCACAAGTCTTAATAATTTTTAATCACCACTAGCAAAATTTATTACATTTGTGAGTAGACGAATTCTATTAACGAATGGCACTTTCAACTGCAACAGTTTCCCTACCACTATAATTGAAATCAATTTCTATATTATCCCCTGGAGGAGATATTTATGTATTGACACTTTAACTGATCTCTGATTTGTTTAAATCTTTACTGACACAGTTTCAATGTTTTGCATTTTTTTTTAATCATGAAATCAAAAATTTCGCAATCGAAATTTTTGAATATTTACCGAGTAAGTCGGGCAATAACTCTTTTTTTTTGTCTGACCAAGAAGGTAATATACACCGAAGAGCCATTACATTATGACCACCCCTTCATCTATAACAATGGGTTCGCCCAGGTTTTCATGGTTTCTGCCCCAGGAACAATGTTTTCATGGGACACATAAGGACCCATAATCCTCATAGAACAATCCCTGACGCCTGTAAGCTACTTGAACATAGTTGCAGACCAGGTTCACCCATTCATGGCAACAGNAACCTTCTACTGTTGTTCGGAGCTAGTGAAAATTCCAAAATATGGTAAAATTGAGCTCCATTTTACGTAGCCAGCAAATGAATACCAATTTTTGGTGCAACGTGGCTCTGAATTTTTAACAGTGTACTTATTTGAGCACTAATCTTATAACTGAAACTTTTTGCTAGACGACACCACAAGTCTTAATAATTTTTAATCACCAATAGCAAAATTTATCGTCATATTATCTCCAAATAGGAACATTTGTGAGTAGATTAATACGATTAACGAATGGCACTGCAACAGTTTCCCTACCACTATAATTGAAATCAATTTCTATATTATCACCTGGAGGAGATATTTATATATTGGCACTTTATCTGATCTCTGACTTGTTTAAATCTTTACTGACAGTTTCAATGTTTTGAATTTTTTTTTATCCTGAAATCAAAAATTTCGCAATCGAAATTTTTGAATATTTACCGAGTAAGTCGGGAAATAACTCTTTTTTTTTTGTCTGACCAAGAAGGTAATATACACCGAAGAGCCATTACATTATGACCACCTCTTCATCTATAACAATGGGTTCGCCCAGGTTTTCATGGTTTCTCGCCCAGGAACAATGTTTTCATGGGACACATTAGGACCCATAATCCTCATAGAACAATCCCTGACATCTGTAAGCTACTTGAACATAGTTGCAGACCAGGTTCACCCATTCATGGCAACAGTTTTTCCTGCGGGAGAGGGTGTTTACCAACAGGATAATGCACCATGTCATAAGGGTCGAATCCTCATGGATTGGTTCGAGGAACATTCCAGTGACTTTCAAGTCATGTCTTGGCCCCCAAATTCGCCCAACCTTAATCCAATAGAGCATTTGTGGTCCTACTTGAAAAACCAAATTCGTGCTGCCACGGTACCCCCTCGCAATGTGAGGGAATTGCATGACCAGTTGGTGAGCGCTTGGTACTAGATATTTCAGACTACCTATAAGCACCTCGTGGAATCAATGCCACGGCGGGTGTTAACAGTTTTGAAGGCTTGAGGTGGTCCTACATGTTATTAGCAGGGTGATCTTAATGTAATGGCTCTTCGGTGTATATGGTGCGAAAAATATATTCGTAATTAACTTCTACCAACATCAGAAATTCTTCCATATCTGCCGAAAGCGATACGTTTTACGCTTCTAGTCAGATAAAAGTAAAACTATATTCTCTTTTTTAGTCCATTTCTAAAAGTAATGAAAGTTTTTATTTGATTTATTTTTTAATGTTTTTCTTCGTTGGATGTTTAAACTTAATATTTTTGTAGGTGCCTATGTCATTGCCTCTCAGACCTGGTCATCCGGAAATTTGAGAGCAACACTAGCAAGTAGAGATTTGAGAAATGCGTTTTCAACATGTTCTATGGAGTTCTACTACCATCTTCGGACTGGCAGTAAGTAATATCTATTTATCACGTGTTATGGTGTACAGGCTTTTAAAAAAAAAATTTTTTAGTACCTATCTCCCTCAAGACCAATCGGGGCACTCTCCCAAAAGCCCCTTTCATTTAAAAAAAAATCATGCAGTCTCATTTTTTATAAAAACTAATATGACAGTTCTTTAGTTACTTCTGAATTCAATGAATGTCTCCCAAATATTTAGTCGTTCGAAAAACAGCTTTTTTAAAAGAAAAAAAAACTAATATCCTGGAAAAATCCCTCTGGAGAGGTCTGATAAGAGGAAAAATTCGAATTCTGAATCAATCCCTCCTGAATTAATTACTTAAAGTCAAATTCTTAATATAAATAGCGATTTAAATAGGGAAAAGTCTTCGATGATGCTCGCATTATAATTTTGGAACCTACCTTGGAAATCAATTAATCTTTTTAAACATAGCACTACAATACTTTCTTGCTTAATTAAAGTAGATTATCAGTGATTATTTTATTTTTTGCATACATTTAATGACTTAGCTCACTTTTTATTTTCTGTTCGTGAGAATGTGAATTGAAATAAGAAATTTAGCTAACAACGTCCCTTGCCAAAAAACAAATTGAAAACACATTAATTTCTTAGATATTCACATTAAGCATTGAAAAATATTCCCTTTAATTATTCTTCAGCTATAAAACTCCAAAAAATGATTTAAATTATAAGAAAAAAGTTTTCCCTCTAAAATAGTTAGGGCCTTGTTGGTACTCATGTTGGTGTATTCTGTACTCATCTTAGTGTATTTCCTATTTCTAAATAATAATTATGAATGCTTCTTAACCTTTCTATTATAGCTAGTGTATTATCCGAATATACAGTAGCATTTACAAAGAAATAGAAAACAGCGAGGCATTTATTAAAATCAAAATTAAATGTATCAGACGTCTTAAGTAATTCATTGAATAGAAAAAAAATTAAACTGCAAATGAACTTGTAAAAATAGTTTTTTTCATGCATTTTTTTGCAGCTTTTATTTTGTAATTACCCGACTTAACTGTTATGGGACCCTCCTTAACCCCTTGGGGACGGGTGATTCAGAAAAGCATCCGTACAAAATCAGAATCAGGATATAAATAAATAAAAAACGGTAACTTAAATGTAGTCGTTGCTAATTTGACAGACTTACTTTGCTTTTACTTTAATTATTGTTAGTTTAATCACATATATAATCAATGTTAGTTCAAAGTATAACTAAATAATTTTATTTTGAACTAAGTAATGGTGAATTAAATAAATCAAACAATTATAACCCCGCCCACAAATGAACTGCTTAAGAACTCTACTTTGGTTACTAGTTTTATATTTTGACCCTGATTAATACGGTTTCATGCTGGCACGTATTTGTGACAGTCGGCGCGAAAGGGTTAATTGTTATGCTAAGGAAAAATTCAGATAATTTAGTATCGAACTGTGAAACTTTTATTTCATATGAATATTTCATTTGCAATCATGCATATTCTTTATTTTTTAAAATATGTATATATTTAAAATTATTTATCACATTCAATCACTTATTCTTCACGTTTTGTAAGAATCTTTGTTCCAGATAAAATTTTCTAATAAGTACTTGGAAGACGGGTTGTAGAAACCCACCAACACCACTGCTGCAGATTATCATAGAATCAACAGATTAATTTTGCTCTTTGTAACGAGAAGATTTTGTTTCAATATTATCATGTGCAAGTTCATCTTCTTTATTTTTTTCTGATTTCTTCATCGTGCTTTATGTGTATACAACCCTTCCTTCGTCTCTTGAGCAGTGCTATTTATTTTTAAACACTCTCAACATTTAAAACATCTCTACACTTGTTTCTTATCAAAATTAAAACACCAAATTAGAGAAAGAACTCATAGGACTAAAAAAAAAAATAGCTGCTTAATTATCGGCTTTTATGGCCTATTTTATTCTTTACAGCATAATCCATTCATATTGACAATTATTCTATTTATGATCATTTTATAAAATTTTAATTGAATTTAAGCAACAGGGCTTTTGCACAGAGCTTTCCATTTTCCAATTATGCTATATATGCAGAGATGCCAACTTGCTCCGGACAGCAAATATATATTTTAAAGTGGTAGTTTATCAATTGTAATTCTTGGTTTAATAAATTCAATTTAGTAGATTTTTATCCACCACTATTTCTAAATAATTCGTAGGCTTATAGAATTCACCACTTTATAATACTTAGGTCTTGCTATACCTTTTAAAAAGCAAGCAAAAATAGTCAAATATTGGCAAAATTTACTTTGTAGTTATTTACCGTCTTTTTAAAAATTATTTTGGCATGTCCGGAGCAATTTGGCATCTCTGTATAAGTGTGTTGAATGAAGCTGTATTTTTTAATGGAAATAATCCCTATCAGACTGTCCTGGTCACGCAAGCAAAATCGTGTTGCAAATTGATGCTGTAAATTTTGCTTCCAAGCCAGGAGGTAGAATGTTGCGAAACAGCTGGAATGAAAATGACAAAACAACATCTAAATAAATAATACACTCATAAATAAAACCAAAGACTAAATGAAGCGTAACTTTTATGAATGTACTTTTTTTTTAGTGGATTTCAAGGTGACCTTAGAGAGGAGCAACAAGAGTGTAGATATCTGGATACCAGAAGGAAATAGTGAAGATGTTTGGAATGGAGCACAAGTGTTCCTTGGCCGAATACCTAAAACCTTTAAGGTGAGATTTTTTATTCATTTAATTCCTACAATTAGTTCACACACTCTCCATTTATATATATTTCATACCTGCCAACATTCACTCTTTTCGAGAATGGATTTTCCAAGTGGTAGTAAAACAATTACCGAAAAACTATCTTCCTCAAAAATATATTTATATTTTAATCGGGTTTAATTTCGCTATAGTAAGGAATAATATGCTTTTATATATTTGTTGTAACTATTTATATGTAGTAGTGGGCAAACTGATTTAAAATTATTATTATAATTCAAAAAGTTTAGTGAAATGACATGAATTTCACTAGCACTTTAAATATGAAAATGAAATCTTCCGGGAAAACCGGAAGAGTTGGCAGCTATGATATTTATATATCTTGCTCAGATTTACAGTCGTTAACACTATGCTGTCCGCATATATTTAGTGATAAGGTTACCATGTAACCGGTTCCGTGTAACTTGCTCCACTTTGTAAAACAGTATTTTCTAGTGGTAGCGAAATTTAAGTTACTTTTAGTTTAGTATTTTTCATTATAAGTAATTTTTTCACCACTAAATATTAAAGATTATAAGTATGATATAAAATGCAACGTTAAAGTATCAAACTACTGGTTACTATATTAAAAAGTAGGCGTAACTATCTTTCTTTAACGAATTTTACTATATAATTTTCTACCACTTTATTAAAACTATTCCAGAAAGCGGAGCAGTTGGCATCCCTGTACTCTATTGTCCCTTGACAAAATGTCACATTAATATCAGGTTGCAACGCGCGACACCTATGTGTTGTCACCAGCCACTAACGTTTGGCTTGGACATGGCTCTAACGTGTTGTCACCGGCTGTTAGTGTATGGCTTGCGTATGGCACCAATGTGTTGTCACCGGCAGCAAACGTTTGGTTTTCACGTGACAACACGTTGGTGTCACCGGACATGAAAGTGTTAATAAAATGCTTTTCATTCATCCACTCAACTTCAAATACATTATTTTAAACCTGTAGTGGATGACACTGGATGTCAATACAGTTTTTTCAGTTTTCTCATTAATTAAACTTAATTCATTAATTAAATTTAAAACACNACAAGAAATGTGTGGTATGATGAGTCTTAAAGCAGAACCCCTATTTCTCACTTAAACTTATTTCCATGTTTCTTCTTTTTATAATATGTTCTTTTTTTTCTCAGCAGTGTAGGGATAAATATCCTTAAAAGTCTATTTTTTTTTAAATTTCATAATCACTTATAAAGTAACAGCTGCGAATTTATGCCTTACCTGACATAGATTAAATGATCTTTGGTGGACTTAAATTCCAAAAAAAAATCTTTCAGATCTTAAACTTGGACTGGCTTGGATTACAAGACTTTGAACCCATGTGGGTTCGACCTTCCATATGCTAACACTTTAGTGTATCTTGCAGGTTTTGAGATTCTTGTGCATGGACCAAAAGTCTGAAAATTAAAGCAAACTCTTTCTTTTAGAAGCGATATAGGCTTATAAATCTAAATTAACTAAGCAATCCAATTCGTTAGTTTTTAATAAAATTTGAAAAGAATAATAAAATATTCGTGTATTTTTTGTGTAAAGATATACTTTCTTGAAAATCTTGATTAAAAAGGAAAATTGTTTGCCTCATTCTATTTGAATAAATAAATATCTGAAACGATTAATTTAGTTTCATTGTTTGGTTTAGTTTAAAAATTACTATTTGAATATTTAAAAAGTATTAGCACTTTTTCGTATGAATCCAAGGAAATAGTTTTCAATTAAAATAGTTGATTTTATGACCCTAAGAAAAAGACTAGCACATATCGATTTTTTTTGCTATAAAATTAACAATTTTTAATGAAAAAATTAAAAAGAAAAGCATTTAACATGAGTTATAATTTTTATGTAAATCAATAAAAATTTTATTTTTTCCTGATTTAAGCCTCCACACGTATTTTTAATAGGTAGTCCGATCTGACCACTATGAAGGATATCCATTTACCGAACGAGTCATTTAATACAGAATATAGTTAAAATAAGAAAGTGGTAGCAAATATATGACTAAAAATTGGTTTTATTTATGAATATTATTGGTTTGCCTTATTCGCTTGTCAACCACTACAGATTCAATTCTCAAATATGTATGACAAATTTCTCTCAATTACTTTGATAGGTTTTACTTTGAAAGGTTTTGAGTTCATGCGCACAACTGGTTCACTTTTTAAACAGTCTGCGCGGACTACTTATAAAAGACCGTGTGGAGACTTCTTGATGTAGGAGGTGATGTTTAAGTTCGCTGAATAAATTTTTAATTTTCCCTATTTCGAACGAAATAGTGTTAACTCATAGGACAAAAAAGAAAGTGATTTGAAGAATTTATATTGATATGATTTTCGAAAATAATTTTGAATTAGAATATGATTTCGGTATTCGAATATGATTTTAATGAAGATTATAAAAAAAAGTTTCTGAAATCGTCAGATATAACATTAAATATTGATAAAACATCTTTAGTAACAATTTTAATTATTTATTTTTTGTGAGCTTAAAACTACAGAAAGACGTTAAATATGATATTGATTTGGAATAGTACTTATACATTATAAAAAGTAATTTATTTTTAATTTACAAACAGCTACTGGTATTTCACGATGCAGTTTTGACCAATCCTTCTGCAACTGGATTAAAGATTCTTCAACTGCTGGAATATGGCAACTAAGAGGGCCTTTCCCAACTCTTGACCAAGGTCCAACACGTGATCACACCTCTGGCTTTAGTAATGGTATGTTTCACGTAACGTTTTTATTTGTTAAAGATTTGGTTGCAAGTTAATTTTATTATTTGTAGTACTACATTAGTATTTTTAATCCTAAACTTTTCTTTTTTCTTCCAGGAAAATTCTTGTTCTTAGCTGGAAGACAAAATCCTCCAGCAGCACGACTGCTTGGTCCCTTGCTGCAACCAGCTACAGATTGCCAAGTAAAAAGAAATTACTGCTTTTTTTAAATAAAGAATGTTCTAACAATTTGGCGAACAATTGTTAGAATGTTCTAACAACTTGGCTAATCAACTAATTCTTAATAAAGCATAATAGTTTCAAATAAATTACTTATTGAGACAAAAATTTGCGCAGATTTTAAAATGTTTCTTACATACACATGCAGAAATCCAGGCAATTTTTTCATTTCCACTCTCTGAAAATGTGCCTCAATGAGCACAGATTGGAGAGTTTCATCTCATAAAAAAGTGCACTCATTTGTCATAAGGCATTTAACATTATATTTTCTTTCCTTATTATTCATATTATTGCAATAATATTCCGTTATTGAATACTTTCTCTTTTATTTGGTTATATCTTCTTAATTACAAAATTTTTTATTTTTTGAATGTACGTGAAGTCGAACGCAAGTGATAAATGCTAGTTTTAAAATTTATCTGAAGTTATTAAAAAAATCACCAGTGATAAAAACAAAACTGGAAGTGGCTTTTATTAAGTATCTGGAAAAATTTCGTGGAAGTATCGAATTTTTAAAACTTCCGAACTCTTAACCAGTGAATAGAATAATTTTTAAATAATATTTTGTTCTTAATCGGTTGGCAATTCAGAATGTTATACAGAAACTATTTGTTTCGTTCTTAAACATTTAGGAAGTTGTTTTTTATTCCATCTTAACATCGTAAAATTTCAAATCTTAAAATTAAATAATGAATATTTTATTCAAACAGTTCGCTTCTATGAGATGGATAAAGGTAAAGGCAATTGGACAGCGAAAGTTTAATAGCAACAAACATACAATGCTTTATTAAGAATATTGATAGTTAAAGCGAATTCTCTGCAAAAGCTCATTTCATTATTTTTAAAATACAACAATATTTTTTTTAAAAAATTAGATTCGACTTTACTACGATATTAGAGGTGCTGGAGATTTCTATCTTCGTATCAAAACTAAAACTGCATCAAATGGAGAAGAAACAGTTGTTTGGAGCAGAGAAGATCCAACCGAAGGGTATTTTTTCATTGAAGATGGGTTTACATTTAACGAAACCAAACCTTTCCAAGTAAGTTCGCATAAATAATTTTTTCAATAGAATTATCTCATAATTTTCTTAATTTTTTTTATATATTCAAACAACAGTACAGATAGCTCCATTTTCTATCACGTTTTGGGCAGCACAGGGGCAAAGAGATACGAATTTTCCGAATACGCTAGATCACGAATTTTCCGAATACGCTAGATCACGAATGTCATAGTAAAATATATAGGCACTGGCTGATTATGTATCTACCTAATAAGTAAAATGCTATGAAAAGTTCCCTAACAATACTTTTGATGTCAGCTGCAGTCCACGCATTGCATAATTTCGTATTAAGCTTATGAATGAAAGGTTTTGGAAAGCTCCATAATGCTGCTTCTGGTGTCAGCTGTCATTCCCACATTGCATTATTATGTAATGAAAGAAATGCTTTGGAAAACTCCATAACATTGTTTCTGATGTCAGTTGCAATCCACACATTACATAATTATGAATCAAATTTACAAATGAAACGATTTGGAAAACTCCATAACATTGCTTCTGATGTCAGTTAAAATCCACACAGTACATAATTATGCATCAAATTTATAAATGAAACGCTTCGGAAAGCTTCATAACATTTCTTCTGATGTCAGTCGCAATGCAATCCACTCAGTACATAATTATGTAACAAATTTATAAATGAAACGCTTTAGAAAGCTTCATAGCATTGTTTCTGATGTCAGTTGCAATCCACATGGTACATAATTATGCAGCAAATTTATAAATGAAACGCTTCAAGCTTCATAACTTTGCTCCTGATGTCAGTTGCATTCTACACAGTGCATAATTATGTATCAAACTTATAAATGAAACGCTTCGGAAAGCCTCATAACATTACATCTGATGTCAACTGTGGTCCACGCATTTTATAATTACATATTAATCTAATAAATGTAATGCTTTGGAAAATTCTTTAACATTGCTTCAAGAGTCAGTTGTGATCCACTCACTGGACAGATATGTGCATCAACTTAGTACAAATTTCAAAAATATGACTAAGGTGTTTGGCCTATTTGGAAAGCAAAAGCAATGATACGTACTGCGATATAGTATCAAGTAATCTAGCCTTATAAAGGAGTTCAATATTTCAATGCATCAATCAATTAAGACAAGTTTAACTCGACCTACTACAAAGGGGTATTCAAGAAATCAAATTTTATTGGTTCAACCTAATAAATCAAATGTCTCGAAACCTGAAAATCAATCACAAATAATGCTTCAAGTGATGGTTGTGATTCTGTAATTGGATAAGTTTATTTCTTTATTATCCCGTACCATTTTACTTTAATCAAAATATTACTTTGAAATTCAATATTAACTGAACTTATGTAATGAAATGAGTTAATTCTGCTTTTCGTAGGTAATCATAGAAGCTGCAATGGATGTAGGAAAAGGTAGAGTTAACTACATAGCTTTGGATGACATATCTTTCAACTACAAATGTGTTCCACAAATCAGTAAGATTTTTATTGTATTTTTTCGTTTATAATGATCAAATGTATCCTTAATTAAACGATAAGCATACCAACTACTTCATTTCAGAAGAAATGTTTTTTGTTGACTAATATTGGTATCATAGGCGAAAATTTCAAAGCGTTTTTATTCAAATCATCTCAACGGAGGGATTTTTATAAAATATTGCCTTTTCTTGAACAGTGGATTATTTAACAAAATGTTCCGCTGTCAGTAAAATCTTGGACAAAATTTCTCACATGCGGTAGATCATTACTCTGAATGGATAGATTATTATAGTTCGTTCACCAGGAGTTGTCACTTGGCTCCACCTCCTCGGACGCAGAGTTCATTTCAGCGCGGGGGAGTAAGAGGAAAAACATTTCCCCTCTTGAAATCGAGATAACCTCTAATGCGCGCAAAGCCTCCACACGGTTTTTTGCAGGTTGCCTAATCAGACCACTATGAAGGCAAACCAGTTCACGAAAGAGCCCTTTAATAGAAAATCTCATAAAAATATAAAAGTGGTAGCAAATATATGTATAAATTTTTGAATATGATTAGTTTGTCTTATTTACTTGTCTACCACTACAGATTCAATTCTCAAATATATATGACAAATTCCTCTCAGTCACTTTTAAAATCGAATTTGGTTTCAAGCGCTCAAACTGTTCATTTTTTAAATAGTCTGTGCTGACTACTTATAAGAAATCGTGTGGAGACTTTCTGATGTAGCAGGTGATGGCCAAACACAAACAGTGAATTCTTTTTCAGTCACTTACTTCGCTTTATCATCAGCTATTATACCTTTCGTTATTCTAGCTAATTTATATTTAAAAACTTTTTCCCAGTAAAATATCTCAAAAAAACAAACTATTCAATAAAAAGAGAGAAATATCAACAAGTTTATGAAATAAAATGCACATGAATATTGCGAAATACATATTTTTGTCATACGATCGCCAAATAACAGCCCTCCCTAAAATAGCAAAATAGTATCATCCGATACCACGTGATGAAGGCGGAGCCAAGTGCCAACTCCTGGTGAACGAACTATACCTCTGAACAGTGGAGTTATTTTGTAAAATCAGAACCTCTCGGATAGATTACAGCACCACTCATTCGTGAGGTCACTTCCGCAATTTTAACGTAGATCTGGAGGGGATTTCAAAATTCCGAACACATGGTGCTGCTCGTTAAATTTTTAGTATAATGAGTAAAATATAACTTCCTTTGTCGTAAATTTATTATCACTACATATTTAACTTTTTCAGAACCGTAGGAATCCTATTATATTCATTTTAAATTAAACCATCATTAATTCATATTGCTTAAATTTTATTAATTTTCATTTTTAAATTTTATTGCAGATCCTCTTCCAACTGTACCACCTGAAGTGTCAACATCGACCCCAATTAAAAAATGTAAATTTGGTGAATTTTCTTGCACCACTCTGGGACAATGTATTAACATGAGCCAAAAATGTGATTTCAGAAAAGATTGTGCAGATGGTTCAGATGAAGATTTCTGTGGTAAGTTAACAACCAGTTATACTCAACACAATTTAAAGTAGATTGAGAAGTAACTACCACTACAATTATTAAATATCAATTCACTAGTATATAAGACATGCTTAATCAATTACTGTATTGAGGTACCTTAAATTTAAAGCAAATTTATATGGTCGAAAGCTACCTCCCACATTGGTGACCCAGATGCAACGTTTACTATGATGGATGGTTCATATTGAACAGGTGGCTTGCCTGTTGAGATTGCGTAATTGCCCGCCTCGCGTTAAAGCTTCTCAGTCTCCTTACACACAACAGGATACTGCACACATTCGACGGCTAATAGCGTCACAGGAGATTCCACACACACAACCGTGAATTTTAAATAGCTCTCACGACAAACACTTAAAGCTCGGTGAACTTAATACGGTTCTCACAACAAGCGCTCAAAATCCGGTGAACTTAATACAACCATCCCGGCAACTAGTGGTATCCATTCATTGAATTCCATCCCTGTTAAAATTCTGGTGAGACAGTAATGTGGAATAACTACAATTGTTAAATAACAATTCACAAGTATATAAAACATGATGATGTCGATTCAATCTTAGGGTGCCTTTTTATAGATAAATATTAACATTGTCGATAGCTACCACCCCCATGGATCAATAAAAAACGTGTATCAAACGAATTAATTAGACAGTATAAGTTGCTAGCTGTGTATGCAAAAGGAAAAAAAGAACATCGATTAACACTAGATTTACGGGACGCATCATTTTGACGCATTTCGAGTTTTGTAAGGAAAATTACGAAACCCGTTTGAATTTTTATTTTATTTCTTGTAATGACTTTTATCCATTGATCGATGTAAGTATATATTGAAGTATATTTTCTTCAAAAGCGTTGAAATATTGAAATTCTCTTTGTGGTATACCTATCTCCACGGATATGCGTCAATTTGACTCGATCGTAATTTAGACAACATTTTGAGTAAACACGCAAGCATCGCATCAATAATAAATAGGAATGTACCGACAATACTTCGATCCGTTATCCGATATCGTTATCTCAAATGAAACAAGCGATAAACAACTGTAGCCGATAAGCAATAATAGAAAGAACAAACGCAGAATGTCAGTAAATAACCACTAAATAAATTTAGCAATTAAAAAGTGGCGAACAATATAATCCTACAAATTATTTAGAAATAGTGGTGGTTAAAAATCTACTAAATTGAATTTATTAAATATGTATTCGTATATATGTATTCGTATATATATGTATTCGTTCATGCGTCAAACTGACGCGTGATCGTAGAGATAGGTATATAATAAACGTCCGTAAACCTAGTGTTAAACATAATTCATGACTATAGTGTAGCTTACTTTCGGTAATAGTTACGAAGTTTATTGTTAGAAGTATTAAACCGAATTTGTAGCCAGTTAGATACAATATTTAACCAATTAAGCCAAAAATATAGTTCTGAAGAGGTTTTTTTAATAGTTACAAAGATCGTGGCCTGCGGGTTAACGGTTAAAATAACTAAGGTCTTCGACAGCTCATTATAAGTGATTACTTTATTTAGGTGCTTGTGATTTCCACGATGGTATGTGTGGTTTGGTAAATGTAAACTCTTGGAGCAGATATAAATGGTCGAGACAAAGTGCAGAAGCATTTGCAGATTCACAAAACTCATCAGCACCAACGACTGACAGTTATGGAAATAAAGAAGGTTATTTTGCTGCTCTGACTGGCAAACAATTCAGTAAGTCACCCTATATTTTCAACACTCTTCTAAGTTCTGAACGAAAACATAAGATTATTATTGTTGTCAGAAAATTTATACGAATAATTTTTGAGTTCGGTCTTTTGTCAAACTAAGTTTGAAAAGAAGCCAGAAACTCCAACTGCTACGGTTCGGCTTAGTTTCAGAAAAAAATTTGTTTCTTTCAAACAGTTCAAATAATTTTCACTCTAATAATATTCTAATAATTTTTATAAAATATCTCTTTGTTTCAAAAAATACTGCTTTAATTCACTACAATTTGAAGAAGAAAAAATTTAAACAACGGAAAATCTGTAGCGGTTTTGTTTCTGAGGAACTAAGATGTTGTTGATAGATTATAAAAGAAGAAAAAAAACAATATTAGATATACAAAGCATCTACATTAACACAGTCACGGTAGATTGTCTCATCTTGGCAGCGCATCTGAGTGAAAACTGGTGATTCTGGTAATAACTAGTGGGAATAACTGGTAATTCTAAACTGGTAATTTCATTTTTTAGTTTTTTTCCGGGAATAATAAAAATCCATAACTACCAATTGTTGGATGCAATTTTTATATTGAATTGCTTCTTCGCCGTGATAAATTTCCTTACAGTAAATTGTTATTGTTGAAAATAGATTAACTTCTCCCGAATATTATCTAATATTGAAATAGCTCTTCTACCAGTATTTTCTCTTTTCCCGTACCAGTATTTTCACTTTTCCCGGCGTGAACGTGCTGTTGTGCATCCTAGATATTTCTGATTGAAAATGTAATAAAGCGTTGATTCGAGCTGAAGTTTATTTTGTTGATACTAAATACAAATTGTGTTCTGAAAGCAGCCATGTGATTGCGAGGATGCGATGGCTTAAAATTTTAGTAAATAATTAACCAAAATTTTCTCGTAATAGTTTTATTATAAAACATAATAGAACTAAAAAAAAACGCTAACAAAGCAGAAATGAAAGTAAAGAAAATTTTTTTGTACTTTCACTTGTGTTTTATTCAATGTTTTTTTTTCATCAGTCTACCTGCCACAAAGTATATCCTATCCTTTTTGGATGAGGAAACTTGCATAATTTTAAATGCACATGATCTAGATGTAGGCTAATCTTTATCTTAATATAGAATTCATTCTCTGATCTATTACTTTAAATTTTAGTTGAAGTTTTAAATTGCTTAATTATTTTTACAATAGTTTAGTTTTAGTTTAGTTTAGAAGACAAATTTCTCCCAAAACTTGATCCAGGAGTTACCTTGTCTTCTGGTTCAAAATTACAAGGCTATGAAGTTGAACATTAGTAGTCGTAAACCCATAAAATTGGATCGGCTGTTCAACGACGGTTATAATATAAAATAGTTTAGTTTTGTTAATAAAAATAAAAATTTACCTTTTTATTTTTGTTTGAAAATAATAAATCTGGCATAGTTTATTTATACCAGTACCCTTTATTGAATTAAAAGTTTGAATTTAATTTGCATAATTTTTATTTGTTTAGTTATTTACATGCTTTAAAATATAGATTTGTTCCATCTTCCTTTATATACATAATTTCTTATGCTTTAAATTAAATTTAAATAACATTTTGATATTTAATTAGATTTATCTACCTTGAATTTGCTTTGAAGTCAAACTTTGCTAAACTCATATTTTGCTTGGGGGGATCTTTATTTTTGTTACATTAGTTTCCTCTTGAATTAGTTTGGGTTGTAAACAAATTTTAATTTGTGAAGATGGGGCTGTAGTTTGGCCCGCTAAATTTTGTTGTCGGATATATATGTATGTTTTTCTTTGATTCAAAGGAAAATATTAAAATACTGTTTTCCTGTTTGCAGATCTATATGGAGGTGCTGCTGTTATGAGGACACCTGTTATGGGACAAATGGCATATTCCTGCAGAATAGAATTTTTCTATCATTTTAACATAAGATCAGGTAAAAATACGAATTGTTGTTATTGTTAAAGTAGGACATTAAGGCAATGAGGGTGCGATTGTTCTTGTTTTCCAGACGTGCCATTTATGGCCAAAAATTTGACTTCTGCCACATCCATACGTCACACCCGTTTATAGGACGAACCCATTCATACATCCATTCATTCAACCAAGGATCGTAATTTTGACCTGAACCAGAGAACGATCAATCTACTATTCAGTACCCCAGAGGTACAATTCGTTATGGGAACAAGGATGACTTTGTGACCCGACAGATTTAACGTGCACCACTTTTCATTTACTACACGGGGAATCTTCAGCTGGCTGGACTCATGTTACATTACTTCAGCCATCTGGATTCGAACTCCAGCTCCCTACCAACCAGGCTATCCCGGTCCTGAAAATAAGAATTCCATTAGGAAGTAAAACTTTTGTTGCATTTATGCATGTGCTTAATCTTACCGAATTGGGGTGTGGGGATTTCAAATCTTGAAATGAGTTTTTTCGGAAAACTACAGATTTTATACTACTAAACGGTATTTTTAGTTTAGTTTAATTTTTTTTTTGTCTGGATGTACAAATTTATAAAGAAACGTATAGGTTTATATACGAAGAATAGAAATACATACATATAGAAAAACTACAGATTTTTTACTACTTAACGGTATCTTTAGTTTAGTGTAAACTTTGAAAATAACACTTAAGACAAAGAAATACGAAAAACTTTGAAAATGACTTAGTGTTAATACTTACCACTTTCTTTTAGAAAAGAACATTTTGCGTTACTGTAGAGCAGTGTTTCCCAAAGTATAAAGTATGATACACGTACCCCCAGGGGTACGGGAACAGTTTAAGCGGAGGTGCGCGTTCTTATGCAAAATAACTTGCAACAAACGAAAATTTGAAACTTTTTTATTTAAAAGCAGAGCTAGCCATGAGAATTTACGATTACATATTTTTCTATTGGCTTTTTTTTGCAGAGTTAACAGTTAATAATTAGTGGTGTCGACAGCCAGTTGTGATTTTTAACTTTTGTGCAATTTTTTATAGTAAAAAATACGTTTATTTTTTTTATTGGTGGTACACAGCGTTACGAAAAATTTAGAAAGGGTACACTAAAGTCATAAGTTTGGGAAACGCTGCTGTACAGGAACTTTTCACAGTTAATCACATTTTTTTTTGCAGACAGAACTATGAGTTAGACATAATATTTTGAGTTATTAGATCAGTCCATGGCAAGACGGTAAAGAAAAAAAAAACTGGTACGAAAGACATTTTATTCTAGCATTTTTTTAGAGAGAAATAAAATATCTGTAATTATCAAGATTTCTTTTATGATTCTAGCATATATATAAAAAATGCTTCTTTCCAAGATAAAGCAGATATTGTAGAATAGTTTAAAAAAGAATAAGTAAACTCCTCCTGAAAACTATCTATTACGGAATTAGTTTTAGTACCAGTCGTTCTTCTTTTTCCGCCTCGTTTTCACCCCTAGATCAGACATGGAAATTAATAGCCGCATCTTGCAATTAATAAAATGAGCCATAGTCATTAGCTTAAACTTTTTTGTTTCGTTTTCAGGATCTCTTTCAGTTTTTGTTAGAAAAGGTACATATGGGCAGAGAGACCTACGCTTTAAAGTGACGTCAAATACAGGCAAAGACTGGCAATTCGCTTCAGTACCCTTGGGAAATTATCAGCGTGGCACATTTGTAAGTATCGAAATTTCACAAAAGAATAAATTTTAAGGCAAAGCATTTAAATTCAATAATAATATAATAGTTTAGTAATCTACATATATATCTTTTATGGAAATTTTTCTATTGATGGCAAAATTACTTATTGATTTTAAAATTCTGCTTTGAAATGGTGGTTATAGTAGATAATTAGCAAACAATGCTATGAAGGCAAAATGGGTGAATCCTAGAATAGCCCACCCCGCGGCGGTTTTTTTGAAATCTCGCCAAACTAGGTTAATGGAAGATATTTCGGGGAGATATATTGCAACCTTAAAGCGCGTCTATTTTGATTATTTTTTATTTATTTTATTAAAAATATTTTAATAAATTTGTAATACTTTCAATTGCTTTTTTTAATAATACAAAAACAATTTTGATCCAAGTCATAATAGCCAGCTTGGAGAGATTTCAAAAACTCCTCAAGGGGTGGGTTATTCTAGGATTTTACCAACACATTTAATGAATTCAGGAAATCGAAATGTGTGTGTTTTCGATGTTCATTAAAAAACATTCAAAATGGAATATATGCTTTTTTTCAACTATAATAATAGTCACATAAACATTTTTTTTAAGTTTTAAAAAAATCATAGTGATGTCTTAATATTCCCAGTGATGTTTTATATTGAATAATTTTATTTACACTTATTAACAGGGTTTATACGTTGACTAACAGCTATAATCAATTTTATAAGGAAGCTGAAATTTCTAAAATCTCAGCTCACTTTAGAAAATTTTAGCTTCTTAATAAAATTGATTGATTTTAATTTTTTAAGTTTCACTTGGAATTGAGGGAAGCAATCTACTCCATTTTCCACAAAATTTTTAATAAATTGATAGTGAATGAAATAGTGAAACTAGTAGAATGAGGATAGTTACGCCCACTCTTTAAAAGTATCACCACGAGATAACTATCATGTAATGGTTAATTTAATCATAATTTATTTGCGTAAGCAACGAGCGTAAAAATCATAAATTGATGAGAGAGAGATAACTATCATAAAGTTGCATTTCATATGATACTTTGAAATTTTGATATGAAGTGGTGGAAAAATTACTTAACATGAAAAATACTGAACTCAATATAACATGTTTCGTTACCACTAGAAAATATATTTTTCTTTACAAAGCGGAACAACTGGGCATTGCTGAGAATTAACACATGACTGCTGATCTTAAAATCCTGCCACAATTATCAAAATAAACATGATGGACGAGATAGGGGCAGCTACGCGGCCCAAGTGCCCAGCTCAAAAATCAAAAGAAGAAGAAGTTGAGAGTTAATTTTTCTTTAAACTTCTTAGGCATTGCCTGATTGAGAATCTGAGCCAATTATTTTTGTCTTGTCGTTCAAGCTGGGCACCTAAGCCGCGAAACGGCTCCTATCCCATCCATCATGATGTGTTAACAGTTTGCAAGCATTCGTTGTGGTTGCTTTTAAAAGGCAAATAATTTTAAAATTAGCTCTAGACGCATGCACTTAAGAGCTATTGAGTTATCCTAGTATATACAAGCATGATCAAATACAATTTTCATTTTATTATCACCTCTTTCGAATTTCTTATTTGGTGCAAACGATCCGTTATTATGTATCCTTTTCTTTTTATCCAAATAAATGAAACCCTTGCTTTGTTAACGGTGGAGAATTAATGCTAACATGGTTTAATATGGTGTTTCATATACATTGCAGATCGAATTTGAAGGCAACTCTTATTATACAGTCATAGCAGGAAAAGCTCAAGATATTGCTATTGATTTCATCAATTTCGTAAATTGTGATCCAACAGCTGTCATACCTACGTCATGTGAGTAAATTATCTCGATTCCTTTACTAATTAAAAGAAAGAAACACTAGACAAAGAAGTGACGGATTAAACAAAGCAACATAAATAATAAAATAACTTGAGGAATCAAGAATTTTTTGTATATTTAATGAAGTTAAGTATTTTTACTCTTGCATTCAAATCTTAGCATTATTGAATTTTAAATCCTGAAGTTAAGTCCTGAACTTAAAGTCCTGTAAGTTCTGAACATAAAGTCCTGAAAAAATGCAGGTTGCCAGCGTAAATTTAAAAAAAATATCATTGAAAATTTTAAAATTTTTATACAGTCATAGGCTGAGGGATAAGCCTCAAATGATTCATCACCTCCTACATCAAGAAGCCTCCACACGGTCTTTTATAAGTAGTCCGTGCAGACTGTTTAAAAGGTGAACCAGTTGTGCGCATGAACCTAAACCCTTTTATAAAAGTAATTGAGAGAAATTTTTCTCATATATTTGAGAATTGAATCTGTAGTGGTTGACAAGTGAATAAGGCAAACCAATAATATTCATAAATAAAATAAATTTTAAGTCATATATTTGCAACCACTTTCTTATTTTAACTATATTCTGTATTAAATGAATCGTTCGGTAAGTGGATATCCTTCTTTCACCTTTCAGTTGCGCTTCGGCGATTTATTATTTATTTCCACTCAGATGAATTAGTTAGAGCCCCTAGCGGGGCTGACGCTAAGATAACCAACACATATGAGTATGAGTAAGTGGATATCCTTCATAGTGGTCTGATCGGACCACTATGAATCGGACCACTTCTAAGAAACCGTGTGGAGGCTTTCACTTATAGGAGGCGTTGAATGAGTCAAAAGAATTGATTAAAGCTTAACATGGATGAATCATTTTATATCTTAAATGTAATGAAGACATTTAACTATAATATCATGCCACGTATATGCAGCTATAGTATCATGCCACGTTAGAAATAACTGATAAGATCCCAATCAGAACATTCAATACTGCGCTTGTTCAGTTCCTTAAAAACATAAATATTGCTTAAGAACATAAGTGAACGCGGGGAGATGTGAAGCTCTATTGAAGAGATTCAGAATTTTCTCGTAGCATCTCAGATGTAAAGAGGTTGGACAAAAATATAGAACACTTCTNAAATTTCTAAAACTGATATCTCTTTAAAAAGGTTAAAATTTTGGCTATAATTAAGTCTATTAAAAATTTAAATAAGAGAAATTGCAATGGAAAAACCCTGCATAAACAAAACATTGAATTTCGGAAGAAATCTCGTTTGGTGAGAATGCTCTCTCTTGTCAAAAAATACAAAATAAACTGACCTCAAATAAAACTCCAAGGACTTCGAATCAAATAATTAAGGAAACTACTATCACGTTTAATATAAAAGGAAGATTTATTAACTAAGCAAGAAAATTACAGCATCGCAGTTCCAAAAAACAAACCTCACACTCACTCAACAACAATTTACAAAAGCAATTTACATTCTAATTAGTCACCATAGCAACCACAAAACTCTTCTCGTTACGATCAATAAACTGATATATAATAAATAAATTATTTAACAAAAAATACGATGCGCATAAGCACATAATATTTTACACTCTGGTTATTTCAGTCCATTAATTTAAAAAAATTNAGAAGCGCTATATGTTGAGCCACCTAATTTAGATTTGGCATGTGACATTTTTAGCGGCAGTCATTGGCTGATTTTCTAGCGTTGCCATTCGGGGAGTTGTAATAAGGCTTTTTTTTATCGCCGTGTAAGAGAAATATATATATAGATAGATAGATAATTTTATTTACACTTATACGTTGACTAATAACTATAATCAATTTTATAAAGAAGCTGAAATTTCTAAAATTTCAGCTCACTTTAGAAAATTTCAGCTTCTTGATAAAATTGATTGATTTTAATTTTCTAAGTTTCACTTGGAATTCAGGGAAACCAACTGCTCCATTTTCTACAAAAATTTTAATAAATTGGTAGTGAATGAAATAGTAAAACTAGTAGAATGAGGATAGTTACGCCCACTCTTTAAAAGTATCACAGCGAGATAACCACCATAAAGTTGCATTTTATATGATACTTTGAAATTTTGATATGAAGTGGTGGAAAAATTACTTAACATGAAAAATACTGAACTCAATATAACATGTTTCGTTACCACTAGAAAATATATTTTTCTTTACAAAGCGGAACAACTGGGCATTGCTGAGAATTAACTGCTAAGTGCCACCACATGACTGCTGATCTTAAAATCCTGCCGCAAATATCAAAATAAACATGATGGACGGGATAGGGGCAGCTGCGCGGCCCAAGTGCCTAGCTCAAAAATCAAAAGAAGAAGAAGTTGAGAGTTAACTTTTCTTTAAACTTCTTGGGCATAGCCTGATTGAGAATCTGAGCCAATAATTTTTGTCTTGTCGTTCGAGCTGGGCACCTGGGCCGCGAAACGGCCCCTATCCCATCCATCATGATGTGTTAACAGTTTGCAAGCATTCGTTGTGGTTGCTTTTAAAAGGCAAATAATTTTAAAATTAGCTCTAGACGCACGCACTTAAGGCTGAGGACAGGCTGCTTTTGCTTTCCTCAGTGAAATAGATATACCACAATTAAAAATGGATAATTTGTAAGCTACAAATCGTTTGTGGACACTAGGGGAAGGGGGTTTGAACGGCGAAAGGACCACTTGTCTGGTCAGCAGATGGGGAGATAAGGAGTGATAGATTTATGAGGAATTAGAATGTAGAATGCCTTATCTTAACAATTTGTTCTTGTGGAATATAACATTTCTTTCAATTTGTTTTTGTGGTATATATATTTCTCTGAGGGACGAAAAAGCTGCTTTTTCCCAACTTGTCCTCAGCCTAAGAGTTATTGAGTTATCTTAGTAGATACAAACATGATCAAATACAATTTTTCTTTTATTATCACCACTTTCGAATTTCTTATTTGGTGCAAACGATCCGTTATTACTTATCCTTTTCTTTTTATCCAAATAAATGAAACCCTTGTGTTGTTAACGGTGGAGAATTAATGCTAACATGGTGTTTCATATGCATTGCAGATCGAATTTGAAGGCAACTCTTATTACACAGTCATAGCAGGAAAAGCTCAAGATATTGCTATTGATTTCATCAATTACGTAAATTGTGATCCAACAGCCGTCATACCTACGACATGTGAGTAAATTATCTCGATTCCTTTACTAATTAAAAGAAAGAAACTTTCTGCAAAGGAGTATAACGGATTAAACAAAGCAACATAAATAATAAAATAACTTGAGGAATCAAGAATTTTTTGTATATTTAATGAAGTTAAGTATTTTTACTCTTGCATTCAAATCTTAGCATTATTGAATTTAAAATCCTTAAATTAAGTCCTGAACTTAAGGTCCTGTAAGTTCTGAGCATAAAGTCCTGAAAAAATACAGGTTGCAAACGTAAATTAAAAAAAAAATATATAATTGAAAATTTTAAAATTCGTATAATTTTGAGGGATAAGCCTCAAATGAGTCAAAAGAATTGACCAAAGCTTAACGTGGACGAATCACTTTGCATCTTAAATGTAATGAAGACATTTAGCTATAATATCATGCCACTTACTTTTGCTGTCGTGTACGTATGTTTAGAAATAACTGATAAGATCCCAATCAGAAGATTCAATACTGCGCTTGTTCAGTTGCTTAAAAACATAAATATTGCTTAAGAACATAAGTGAACGCGGGGAGATGTGAAGCTTTATTGAAGAGATTCAGCATTTTCATGTTGCATCTCAGATGTAAAGAGGTTGGACAAAAATATAGAACACTTCTATACTATATGTAAGCAATGTTCTTTTTTTAGCGGGGAATGTTTTTGGAAGGTTTTAAGTGGCAAAATTCTTGGCAAAGTTTGAAGGATCACGCTAGAAGCTTCTAGAAAGGATATCATTTTTAACCAAGTAAAGAACTTATAAGATAGCTTTAACACCAGCCATTTTGAAATCATGCTATGGGTTGGCAATACTTATATAAGAATGGTATAAAATTATAGTGATATTAGAAATCGAAAAAATCTTTTAACTTCCTACGTTCATTCTGGTCGATATAAATTTTGCACGCGTAAAAAGGATACACCATTTCTTAAAACTTCAACCATAATCTTTCAAACTGTGCCAACAGTTCTGCCACGTGAGACCTTTCAAAACATTTGCTGCTAAAAATGATTGCTTACGTAGAGTTAGCATAACAAGTTTTTCCATTTTTAGTATTTACGTTCCGCACAGAGTTATTACTGCAAAACATTCAACAGAGCTTGGATGAGGTAAAAAAAACCTTAAACAAACCTTAAAACGAAAAAAAAGACAAAAGTACAGCTCAAGTGATTATGGGAGTAAAGCAATCAAATATATAATGCAATCGATATTTTGTCTCTATTGTTTTTGATTTTAGAAAATACATCATCAAAATATTGTTTTTCCATAATTGTCCTTGATGTTCAAGATACAGAAACTGTATGATTTTATGTTTAAAACAGTAAATAAGATTTATTGCAATAAATTTCATTGTTTATTTTTAGCAATCAGCTGTACATTTGATTATGATCAATGTGAATGGCACCCCGATAATGATGTGAAGAGTGCTCAGTGGACAAGAGATAAGAAGACACCTCAAAACAGTGGACCACAAAGTGACCATACCGGCAGAAATGGTGAGTTATGAGCATTTTTAGTTCGATCTATAATATTAAATTTTTCTTTAAAATGAATGAATCGCGTAAAAATCCCAGTGGTTTTTAAGAAATCTATTGATGTTTTGACTACGATACACCGTAGTTGAACATTAGTAGTCGTAAACCCAAATATTGGGTCAGCTGTTCAATGAAGGTTATAAAATGAAATAAAATGGCTTAATTTAAGCCTTAATCTACATCTATATTTTTGATACAAAAAATTCAAGGAAAATACAAAACTAATTAGTAAAAACATTTTTATTTTCTTTAAAATAAACCAAAGATGAAAACATTTAGAAATAATATTTATTCTGTTAATTATAAATTCTTTCAATTAATCAAAATGTTGATGACACACTTCTTTTTACTTCCTTCCTTGTCACAAATCGTAAAAAATTCAAGAACCCTCTCCCTTAAATAAATGACAGTTGAACAGCTTATAGAATGAAACACTTAAGTGACATTTTCAGGGATATTTATTAATCAGGGACAATAACATAAGGTAGCCGTATCAATATGGATATGTTTAATGTAATAGAAGTGTATTTGAACACTTAATCTAACCTAACTAATCCGCATTAGTTTTGAGCATGCTTGCACGATTTTTATTTCAAATTAGCAAGCGGTAAATAAAATAAGACAAAAAATTTTTCAGCCCCTTCTAATAAATCGATTATTAAACAGTTTAGACACTGCTTTGTTTCTTCTTTCCCTGATTATAGTCACTCCGAAAATGTCACTTACCTGTTTCATCCACTGAACTCTTCCATAGTGGATGGTCCTTAAATTAAATGGGGATATTTCCGTAGCGTGATTTGTCGCGCCAACTACAATCGTCAAGGTGCCAAATTTTAAACTTGCAAATTTAAAAAAGCAAACAAACATGTAAACGTTTGCCCGGGGGTGGCTACGAGTTATGCCTTTCAAGTTGGTCCCTTTCTGTGATTTTTTTTTTAATTTCTCGCGGGCCACAGCCCGAAGTTTCCAAAACTTGGCGATTAATATACCACGATACGGAAATCTCTCCAATTAAATGATAGACACATTGAAAAAAAATCACTAAATGTGTGCTATCCATGCATTTTTCAGGCTATTTCATGTATGTAAGAGCCTCAACAATTTTGAAGAAGGGTGACAAAGCACACATGGTGAGTATGAAGCAGGAGCCTACAGAGCAGCGATGCTTCAGTTTCTGGTACCACATGTACGGACAGGACGTTGGAACATTGAACGTCATCGTTAGAAATGATGCTGGTGACACTACCATTTGGAGTAAGACTGATTCTCAAGGATATGCATGGAAACAAGGAATGAGAACAATCAGAAGCAACTCATCCTATTTTGTGAGCATTTTTAAAAATTATCTTTTATTCATCATTTTGTTTGATTTCAAAATTTTAAACGCCGCGACTCTATATAGTTTAGATGAATATAATTTATACGAAACAGGATTTATCATGACAGATGAATCTCAAAATTAGTGAAAAACTTTGCTCTTTCCAAAAACACTATTCACATACAAATGCTTTAATTGAATAATTTGTTTTGTTTCTCGTACAAAATTCCTGAAAACGAATGGAGCCTTATTATAGAAAGCCTTTCACACTTTGAATGCATGGGTGAAAGCCCTTACATAGCAAGACGGAAAAGAGAAAAACCTGGTACGTAAAACATTTCATTCCAGCATTTTTTTCGAAAAAAATGAAATCTCTGTAACTATCAAGATTTCTTTTATAATTCTGCATACCCTCCAACTGCTACGGAATTTCCGTAGTTTGAAAAATCTTCTTTTCAGACGGTAGCAAAATTAATGTCTTAATATTTTTAAAAAAATTTTATTTTAGTGTAACTTGTCCACTATTACTTATAAAAGTGCAGGCCATATGGCTAGATTCTTAAGTTCTGATAAAAGTTTTATGAGAGATCCATTTGCTTTAAAAATTTCTACTTTGGTTCGCTACCACTAGAAAGAATTATTTTCAAAATCTTCATAAGTTGGAGGGTATGATTCTGGCATATATATAAAACTACTTCTTTTCCAAGATAAAGTAGATATTGTTGAAAAATTTAAAAAAAGAATAAGTAAACTCCTCCCCAAAACTAGCTATAACTGAAATGGTTTTACTACCAGCCTTTCCTCTTTTCCGTCTCGCTTTCACCCCTGTTTGAATGCCACGCTAACTTTTCATGGCTTGCACGTCTTGCCAAACGGTAAATAACTACAAATTAAATTTGCAAATATTTGCTAGTTTTTTAAAAGGTTTATCGTGACCTATCTGAAAAAAAAGTGGTGAATTATATAAGCTGACGAATTGTTTAGAAATAGTGGTGGATAAAAATCTACTAAATTGAATTTATTAAACCTAGAATCACAATTAATAAACTACCATTTGAAAATATTTATTCACTGTCCGGAGCAAGTTGGCATCGTTGTGTATATAAATAAAACTATATTTTTGTGTGTTCGATATTGCATTAATTTCTTCAATCCATTTTAGCAACGATAATAATATTAAAAAAAATAATTTTCTCGAATTATGTGTTTCTAATAATCTTGGCTTCGCCTGTCACCGGTGACCCCCGTGGTGCTACGAACAAATTTAGTAACGATAATAATATTAAAAAAAATAATTTTCTCGAATTATGTGTTTCTGATAATCTTGGCTTCGCCTGTCACCGGTGACCCCCGTGGTGCTAAGAACAAATTTAGTGCCGGTCACCGGTGGCCCCCATGGGATTGAACGTGTTAATTCAACCTGGTTCATTCAGTAAATTCAATAAACAAAATCTAAGGAATTAAAATTTCAGGAGGAAATCCAAAACTTTATGGTGGAAATTAGTAGCTACAACTAGCATGTATTTCAAAACACCATACGTTTTATTATTAAATGTTCAGTGAAATATTAAGCAGATATAAAGTAAAAAACAACTTGAATGAAATACTGATCAAGTACAGAAATGGACATACTATAATTTCGGTTTTCTTGACAAGAACTTTTCTTAGTGTTTTAACACCAGTGACATTAGAAAGTATTAGTTAGTTAGAAGAAAGAGATAAACACATGTTAAGTGATTTAACCAATCAGAACAGAGGAGCAAGTTTGATTGAGAAAATAAAATAAAGGTGATAAGAAACAGGTGTGAGAGGGTTTGATAGTAACCCCCAGGGTCAAAAGCTTAAATTAGAATAGATTTCCATACATTGGAAAAGGGTGGGATAATGGAAAGATCATTAACTATATTATTTGAATTTTTAAAAATTTGAAGAGAATGCTTTTCTAATGTCATTTGGTGTTTAGAGACCAAGGAAGGCTTTTGTTTAGAGAACCGAATCTATAGTATGTCCATTTCTGTACTTGGTTTGTGCTTTTTTCACGCTGCTTTTCCCTTTAGTCTACGTAGCACTAAGAATACTCGATTCTTTTGAATTAAGTAACTCGTTACTAGTGTTTAGAATTATAATAATTTTTTATTGATAAGCCTTTGACAATATAACTCCGGATATTACTTTTGTATTATTAGATGTTATTTTTAGGCATATTAAGTCAAAAGGAATAAAACATTTGCATACCTGCCAACTTTTAATATCGTTCATCATGATTTTTCCCAGTGGTAGTGAATTGGAATTAAAATTTCAATTGTAAGCAAAAAATTGCGTTGTATTTGAAAAGCCATCAGCTGACAACCATGGTAGTAACGCATATTAATCTATATGCTAAATTTTTTTAGCAATAGTGGTGATCAAAATCATTTAAAAATTAAGTTTATAAAGGAAAGTATAGTATATATTTACTACCACTTTAAATATAAAAATAAAATTTTACGCCAAATGCGTAAAAGTTGGCAGTTATGCATTTGATTGGTTTCAAAATCTGATTTCGTCTAAAATTTTAGGCTGTGTGCATATCACCCAAAATTTACACAAAATTTTTTTTTTCTCCAACCGTAGTGAATAAAAGTAAAATATTTAAAACAAATAGATGTTTTATAAAACTTTTTTCAGGGCAAAGGACATTCCCATTGTCTATGTGATCTTTTATGCATATCTGCTTCAATTATTTATCTACAGCAGAAAAGAAAATTATTATGTTTCTCAATTGTTTAAACATAAATGAATTAACACAATACTTTTGCTATCAGTAGGAAAAATATTTTCAGAAATTACGAAAATTCTGCAGTAGTTGGAGCTGTTGGTTTTGCGCATAAAATAATAAAAGAATGAATTCTGAGAATCATAACTCCTGTTGCATGAATAATGTTCATAAAAATTTTGCTCTTTATAATTTAGTTTCTAAATTCGGTTCTTTAGAAGGTTTGTACTTAAGTTATTAAAATAAAAAATTTAAAAACAAAGATTCGAATAATACATTGTTCTTGTTGTATGAATAAAGTTATTCGTAATTTTTATCTTCGTAATTAAATTTGTTCTCAATTTTGTGCATTTTGATTAAGTTTTGAAAATCATCAAGGGATGCATAATAAAAAATCTATATATCATGTTTCATGAATGTAAATCTTTTAAATCTTGGTCTTTATAAGTTGTTTCTTAAATTTAATTTCTTCTTAATTGCGACCTTTAAGTATTAAAACGAAATTTGCAAAAAAAATTAATTCTGGGACACTTATGACTCATCTTGCATGAATTAATATCCAAAATATGTTTTGAATCATGTTGTTGTAATCATTCTCAAATTACTATTCAGGTCGTCATGGAAGGTATCGTTGGCAGCTTTGCAAGGCCTGTCATTGCTATTGACGACATTGAGGTAACTGAAGAAGAATGCCCACACCCAGGTACGCATTTTGTCCATCTATTTCTATTCATATTAGTAATCAGTTCATATCAATTCGAAAGTACTCGTTCGTATAAGTGTGCAAAATTTAGTATGCAATTGCATTGCGTTTTCACAAGGACAACAGTTTCATTCTGTACAATTTCCCAGGAAAAGCTTAGAGTGTTTCGAAATTGTTTCGATTTTTTTGATAAGCTGTCATTATCAAAGTTTGCAGAAATTGTTTTATGCATTTAAGCGACAAACTGTGGTTCAAATTTTTTTCAGATGCCTTTTTGAATTACATCAGTTTGAAAAACATTTCATTTTTATGAAGGATAAAATACAGGATGTTCAGTAGTCACTACCATCAACATATATTTTTTTAGAACCCCTGATGAAAATGAAGTAAATAAAAGTATACACATTAGAGGTCAGAATATTTAAGATAGGAAGAAATAATATCGCAATCGAAATTTGTCGAATTGAGAGAGGAAAGTGAAAGCCAGTTTGAATGCCTGGTGAAACTTTGAGGCTTTTCTAATAATCGCCTTTTAACTTATCTCCATTTTCCCCAGCAGTAAAAAAGTTTCTTTTTGTGATAATTTTAATATCATATTTTTAGTTGTTATTCATGAGATTTCGATTGATTCATTGTTTTCTGCTTGAACAGCAATCTATGTACTGTTTACTTTTTGACTTAAACTTTGACAAGGGTTTTAAAAATATCTACATTAAGAATAGTCATTACAATAAGAATAGTCATTATAAGAAGCTTGTATTGTTGATTTTATGCAAAATAGAAAGCAAAGTTCATACCATGTCAAATGTCTTTGAAGTATTTAAGCAAGTATTTTACTATTCAAAGATGAAGAATGTCAGACAAAAAAGAATTTTTTTTATAATTTCTGTTGTTCAAATAGGTAAGTGCACGCAATTGTCTTCGAAAATTAAAGTTTTTTTTAAATAAATTTTGTGTTAAAGCAAATAATAAAATTTCTGAACATTTTGGATACAGTCTTTCAAAATATTTTAGCATACTAGGAAATTTTCCTGTTAAGTTGCGTGAAGTATAATTATTAATATCACAGAAATACAACTCTAGTGGTCTTATTTTTTTAATGCTTAACTTTTCTGATTACCCGTATTGTAGTATTAATCATAACCACGTTATAGGAAAATAAATTTCATTTTGTTTTTCTAATTTTTTCTTTAAAAAAATTATCAAAATAATTTAAAGTTGTTAAAATGTTTGTTTCCTTATTTAGTTGCCTGTGAATTTGAGGTTGATTTTTGTGAATGGGATGCCGTAGGATGGGTACTCCAAAGAGCTCAAGGAAATATTCCATCAAAAGATCATACAACAGACACAAAAGAAGGTGAGTTTTCTAAAACTGTTCTACAAATATCAGCTACGACAAACGTAGATATAGTTTTCAAAAATGCTCATAAAACAAATAAGTTTGGTTTAAAGCTTAATCAGGTATAGTTATAGTAGATATAGTTTTTAAATGAGCTTACAAAAAAATGAGCATGCTGTCGAATAAGTTTGATTTAAAACTTATTCAAGTATAGCTATAGTAGATATAGTTTTTAAAGGAGCTTACAAAGTAAATAACCTTGCTGTAAAATAAATTTAATTTGAAATTTAACCATGGATATAATCATAATAGGTATAATATTTCAAGATGCTTTCAAAACAAATGACCATGATGTTGGTTAAGTTTGACTTATTTAAATTTTTCATAGCTGTCATTCCATTAATAAAAGCTTTATGTAAATGCCAAAATTGTGTTTAACCATGTCGTTTTTTTAAAAATAATCAAAGATTTGGTTTTTATTATAAGAGATGTTATATGGTTTTCTAGTAATCATTGAACTAACTATTTCTGCCACCAATTTCTACTATATCCTTATTGACAAATTTTAGCAATGATAAACATTTATACCTGATTGTGAGCTCTCGGTATACCTCATCAAGCATTATTAGAAGTAGAGTTCAAATTAAGAATCGTCATCTTTTTAGTGTATTTGAAGTCAGTTTATTAGTTATCAAAATAAATATAATTACATTAACTTTTGACTTTTAATTTAAACGGTTTTAAGTTAATGTCATACATTGTTCCATTAAGAATATCTAAAAAAAAGTTTTTAACTAATGCATTTTTTCTACTCTTGAACACAGGACGTTATGCGGCACTTATAGAAGAAACAGGAAAGATTACGAGTCCAGAATACAACTACACCCAGAGTGAGTATTGTCTTAATTTCTGGTACTTCTTGGAGGGAGGCCGTGACACTTTCCTGCGAGTGCAAAGGGAAGAAGAACCACCAATTGGAAAACCAGTGAATATTTGGTCAGAATTCGCAGAACCAGACACGAAAGGAATATGGAGGCACGCAAGAGCAAATGTTGCTGACCTAAACAAAGGAGACTATAATGTAAGTTGTAATCAAATACTTATTCTCTTATAACAAGACTTATAAATTAGCATGCAGAAGAAGTATGGCATCGTTGATGCACTTATTTTTGCACAAACGCATATTCTCTTGTAACAAAACTTATAAATTAGCATTGATGCACTTATTTTTGCACAAACACATATTCTCTTATAACAAAACTTGTAAATTAGCATGTAGGGAAAGAATGGTAACGTTGATGCACTTATTTTTTGTATTGGTAAATGGTTGGTGGTGTGATAAATCAGTATCAAATTTGGAAATTTTATAGTTTGGTACACAAAATTATCATTACTACTTTTCATATTACGCATACCTTGGCTGAGACTAAACAATTATAAGATGTTAAGTAAACATAGTAGACCCAATAAAATAAACTTGTCTCTTTCATTGGGACAGGAAATTTCCATGATTGAGCAGGTTACTTTTTATTTTTTAACAAAGTACTATTTTAATACAACTCAGTAAAATGTATAAAAATATTATGAGTCTGTGAGATTCGAGAGTGAGATCATAATTATACAATTTGTTTGAGTAATTTCCAAAAGCTTCAAGAATTTTAATGAGTGCAGTATGATCTAGTGGGAAAATTAGACCAAAGAGTAAGAATCGAAATTTCTGCAAGTTTAACATTTGTAGTAGGCTTCATGATTAGTGTTTTGTCTTCTTCTAAACAAAAACCTCTAATTAAACGATTTAAATTTTATGATTTGGTATAATATGGCTTCAGCTATATTGTGGCAAAAGGGTATTGCTAATGTTGTTCTTTTGGAAATCAAAAGTAAAGTTCACTGGGACACCTGGGTGTCATGGAAACACAGTGCACTTGAAAAATGTGAACTTTCTGAAGAGAGGGGAAAAGGGAGTTAAAAATAAAGGGAAGGGGGAGAAAATTAAAGGAAAGGGAGGATAAAAATAAAGGGAAAATTCTCCAATGATCAATGGAAAAAAAGACTCCCCATATTTATTTAACCCTTTCGCGCTGACTGTCACAAATACGTGCCAGCATAAAACTGCATCAATCAGGGTAAGAAGATAAAACTGATAATCAAAGTAATTCTTTAGCAGTTTATTTGTGGACGCAGTTATGATTGTTTGATTTATTTAATTCACCATAACTTTGTTCAAAATAAAACTACTTAGTTATACTTTGAATTAACATNAAAGATAAAACTGGTAATCAAAGTATTTCTTTAGCAGTTTATTTGTGGGCGGAGTTATGATTGTTTGATTTATTTAATTTACCATTACTTTGTACAAAATAAAACTACTTAGTTATACTTTGAATTATCATTGATTATATATATGATTAAACTAACAATAATTAAAGTAATTAAAGTAAAGTAACAAAGTAAGTCTGCCAAATTAGAAACGACTGCATTTAAGTTACCGTTTACGTCCTTATCCTGATTTTGTACCGAATGCTTTTCTGAATCACCCGTCTCCAAGGGGTTAAAGAATGGAAACTTCCTCAAATAGAGGAAAAAAGCAAAGAAAGAAAGATTACTATAGTCTGGTAATTTTCGAATGCACCCTCGACCTGACTGAAATTAACTTGGCTGAGAGCTGAACTCGTGATTGCCAAACAATTAAACTACTCAGGTCTCCATATCGACGTGAAGAGAAAAGTTCTGGAACAACAACTTTTAATTTTATATTATTAATAATTTTAATAACTTGCAATATCATTGTTTTAATACTTTTTTCAGGTTGTATTTTACGCTGAGAAAAAAACTGGAACATACGTCGCTCTTGATGACATGGCTATTGAAAAGGAAGCTTGCCCACACTATGGAAATTGCGATTTTGAAAGAGATTTCTGCACATGGATGAATATGCCCAAACCTATCAGCTCTGGTGCAAAATGGATAAGACACTCAGGGAAGATTGTTAACAGTTACACTGGTCCTTCAATCGATCACACTACAGGAACATCAGACGGTAAGTTTGCCACAAGCGCAATTTACAATATACAGTGTCCACTGTTTCACTGTATGAATCTTTGTTTAGCAAGTTTTATTTAAATTTATTTTCCACACCACTACATGTAAATGACCTAAAAGTGCATATGAAAGCCACCTCTCACCTTTGACGGTACCATCTCTCACGTGATGATGCTTTTAAAATGCTGAAGAAATTATCAAAGTAAAGCTTTAATTTTTAACTGTCGACCACGATAAAATGTTTTGAAAAAAAGCGTAGCAGTTGGCAGCCCTCTATAAGAAATGAGTTTGTATTTTCCATGTTTTCGTGACACTGCGAGTATAACTATGTTACAGGATTCATGACAGCAAATTTATTTAAATTCATAAACATATACTTTAATTTATAAATTTTAATTGAAGTGGAACTATTTTAATTCAGGTGTAATTTTAAGTTAATTTTTAACAGTTAATTTTAATGTAGTTCTAATTAATGTAAACTAATAGTTAATTTTAAGGTAATTCTCACTTTTTCTAAATTTCGTAAAGTAGTTTCCTAAGAAATTTATTTTGATACAGATACCTCATCGTTGGGAGTGTAATAACCAAAGAATCCTCAATGTTATTACATGAAAATTATTCCGTCTGTAATGAGATTACGAACTGGTGAGGGCCACTGGATTAAAATATTATAATGAAATATATTAATTGTTTGTTGATTTTATTATTATTTTACTACATCTCAATTTGTAATTAAATAAACTGATTTATAATGTGATAAAAAAATTATTAAGCTACTGTATGAATGGCAAAGTAAAGAATATTCTCAATTTTATGTATTTTTTTGTTTTGTTTAGGTTTTTACATTTACCTCGATGGACAGTATGGTAGTCCTAGCAACTTAGCAGTACTTGAAAGTGAAAACTTACACTACAGTCCAAGTGCTTGTTTCAGATTATGGTACTTCATAAACAGCGGTAAGTATTTTTTTTTTGCAAATGTCTCAAAAAATATGTATAAGATTAATTTTGGTTTATTTATCACTCTTTGAGTTCAAACATTTAAATGACTTTCTGTGGATTCAAAACTTTAGAAACATCAGTGAACATTACCTGCTGAGTATATAGGTGTAGAGTTTGTATCAGTCGTAACTTTCTGTCGTGTTTAAACAAGGTAAATTTAATTTTAAAATCTTTGTTTCTGTTCTTAAAGCTACGTTTTCCGCGCATACCTGCAGCTTTAAAAATAAGATGTTTCTGAAATGACTTTTATTACTGGATTCCCTTTTTAATATTGTTTGAATAAAATTCATAAGATGTAGTCTTATAATTTTTTGTGTTATAGGTTCAAGTTCGGTGGAAATATCTTATGTTGACCATAACACTTCTAAAATCTATTCTGTAATGAGAATTAGTGGATATCAAGGATCCAAATGGTATCCAGTGAAAAGACTAGTTCAACAGCTACCCCCAGTTTACAGGGTTAGTATATTTTTCAACTACTAGATTTTTTAATTGTTTCTTATAACATACCAGCAATAGAGTAATTTAAAAAAAAAACTGGATTACATTATTTTAAAAGCATTCCTTAAAAGCCCACATACGCCCTCAGTAAATTTGGCCATAAGTTTGCCATAAAAAATTACCATAGGATATTCCCATGAGGTTTTCCTATGGTAAAATTTTTCCATATCCTTTTGCCATAAAAGTCAGGCAAAATTTTGCTATATGCATACGGCGAAATTTTGCCGTATGCGTATGACAAATGTTTTGCTATAAGGCGCATATGGGAAACAATAATTGACATATGTATATGGTAACCGTAGGCGAAACCTCATAGGAATATCCTATGGTAATTTTTATATATACCAAATTTTTACCTTAAAATTATGATTTTTTAATTATTAATTATGGCTTATTAATTAATGTTTATTAATTATGGTTTATTAACTATTAATTTATAGACAACAATAAACAAGAGTAATTTAATTACAGGGGACACTTTTAACAATGATTATGCTATAAGAATATTTATAATAAGAGAAATTAAGGTGAGAGATTAAGTTACTAAAAATGTAAGAGAGAAAACAATAATCATGTAAGAAAGATAAGAATTTTTACTGGACAATACCTGGATAATTTAAATCTTTAGGACAGAAATTAATTAGAAAACAATATATCTTTAAAAACATTATGCACCGTCCGTCTTTATTTTCCTGACAAGTTCGTAAACATAGATCGTAGATGCGTGGACTTCAAGTTGCCTCCCGGAATTGAATCTCAATATTTTACAATGAAAGCTCAATGCCTCATAAGTTATGTAACTTTTGTAACTGTTAATAATTTTCAATTAATGAAAAAAATGATATTAAATGAACCATATAGATAATGATATTAAACAAACCAAAACTATTAAAAACCGTTCGAATTCTATAGAGAGATTTTAGAAAATCAAGTCAGGGAAAGGAATTCGAAATTACTACCCAACTTAAATGGTATAATAAAGTTCGTTTAAGGAATAAAAATGAAATGAACCACGCAAGTTTTATTTCAATTCTTTTTAGATAAATGTGTAGCTTTAATGTATATAATTTTCAACTTTTCACAACATCCGACAGTAATTATTAAAAAAATATAAAGCTAAAATAACTTAGATAAATAAAAGTAGCAGTTTAAATATGAATGAACAAAAAGTTCATTATTGGAAAGTGTGTGGCATAAGATGGCATTTCCCACCACTATACGATTTTCAATCTTTATGATGTGCCTTATCTCCCCTCCACGTTTGCCACCACTGCACTGTTGGCCAGAAGACCATGATCTTTGGCCAAAAGTCAAAAATTGCATTTTCAACTAAAATATGTGTAAGCAGTTTTAATATAGCCCAAATTAAGTATTCATAATCATTCCAAACATTATAATTTACTTTTTGAACCGACGAGAGTACAATGTAAGGAAAAATATGTTAAATTTTTTTTTTAAATGTAATTTTTAAATTTTTATTTCAGAAATATATATAGGAATTTCACCTTACTGTTACATTTTTATCAGAGTAATTAGTCTGAAATTACAGTACAATTTTTTAATTTGTTGAATTAGTCAACTCTTGACAAACTTATAGTTTATATCTTATCATTTGACATTTTACAATGTTTGAATGACTTTCAAAAGTTAGTTCCAAAAAGTTCCACGAGGTAATTAGCTAAACTTTTTTTTGTTGTCTTCTTTGATGTTTCTTCTTTCAAAAAAACCTGCCCCATTTTGTCCGTATTGCAAAGGTGGATTAAATATACCGAAAAACAAAAATTATGCTTTTTTTCATGCTTTCGCATTATTTTGTAATATTACTTTGGAAATATTATTTGCTTTTCATTTTTAATATAAAATTACGAAAATTATTACATTTTCATTGCTATATTTAATTATTTAAACGTACTATATTATTTTTTTTGTTTTTCTCGCCATATTTCTGCCGCCATTTTGTTTTTTCGGGTATTTTTAGAGTATTTCAAAATTTCAACTATGAATTCAATTTACCTGCACATAAAACCCCCCAAATTTTGAAACAATTTTATGGAAATACTAATTTTGGCCACGAAACCTTGGATGCTGGCCCACTGTGCACTGTACTGAATCGCACAGTATATGTAGCTCCCGGCTTGCACAGACCACAGTTCTGACACAAAATAAGCACATGATGGGTTGCAGTCACATCGTCGTCGAACAAAATGTTGGAAGTTTTCCTACCCATAGAAAAGAAACAAGGTTATGCTGTTCGACGCTGATCCCTGCCAATGATGAGTCAAAATAAGTTATTTGAGGACAACTCATTAAAATAAAACTATTTTTAGATCTAAATAGTGGCATCATAACACCTTCAGAACAGGCAAAATGAGAAAGGAGTGGCCCATATTCTCTAAGAGTATACGTAGTAATACGGGAGTACTGTATTGAGATCACGTCCGTGTGTTCTTTGGCCGCTTGTTTTATATATGATAACCAAGGCCGCGAAGGAAAATCGCGAATATGGATCACGGTCTAGGGGGGATTAACGAAGATAAGAATAGTTAAAACACTCTATAAATGTGTTTTTCTTTTATTAGGTGAGATTGACAGGACGAAATGGATGGTCGAGCTACGTGGCAGTAGATGACATCTCTTTCCAACCAGATACTTGCGACGAACCTACAATTACAACACCTGGACCTACAGAATTCCGTAAGTTTACTATGTACAAATATGCTTCAAGCGGCTTAAGCATTTTATAGTAGTAATATACGTTGAGACACATATTTTAAGCCTCAACAGCCTCAAATTAATAGAATTTCGAGTAGATTATTTTCGTAAATGATACGTAAATGATAATTAGGAAATGATTTTACTGTTTGTTTTTAAAAACATTTAAAGAAAAATTATAAAAACACTTAGATAAGATTATATAAAATGCATTAAAATCTTAAATTTCTTAATTAATTAAATTCTTAAATTTTTTCCTCGCTCTCTTTTTTTTAATTGATTAGCCCAGAGCAATAAAGTCAGTCTAAATAAATTGCTGAGAGTGCTATTGATTTGCTCAGTCCAACTGAATTGCTTTTATATGATTGTGTTAACTTTTCAGCCTCAATTTGATATCTTTATATCAACACCGATCTTTTTACTTAGTTTTTAAAACCAATATAAAGACACTATGACTCTGTTATATTTCAACACCAATTAACCCATTCTAGATTCTAGATTACTCTTTCTGCACACTGTGTGTGCAGTGAAATTGAATTGCAATATTATTATCAATCAGCATGAAAAAAGTAGCCGTCAGGACTTGTTTAAGTTTATAAGACTAGTCTAAATTTAATAAGACTAGTCTAAATTTAATAAGACTAGTATAATTTAAATTTATCTTAGGAGTGTGAAAAAATAAAATTTGGAGCTTATTTCAATTTAGTCAATAAAGAAGACGATATTAATAAATTTCCTTGCGCCATATAGGTGAAGAATATTTCTTCGCCATTAATGATAAATAATTCTACTTAGTCGCACACTTTATTACTCACACATATCGCTGTCATTATCTCCGCCTCAAATCTAACAGACACAGCAGGCAGAATTTATTTCGTTTTCAGAATTTAGTAATAAAAAGTTTTTTTTTCTACAATAGAGAAAAACTTTTAAGTATTTCAATGCATCATATTAACTAAGTTTTATAACGCCTTTAATTAATGTTACTTTATATTAAAACATTATTTTTTTTAAAATTGTTTAAATATTCTGAGCTGCTACTTGCACGCAGCGTGTGCAATAATTTCGTTTGCACAAAGTGAACAACAAAGCACGACTCATTTCTATTGCTTAGACGTTTTCTTTTTTATTGAAAATGGATAATATAATTCTGGGGATGGTCTCAAATATGTGCCATCTTAGATGGGCTTAAAGTTACAATTATGTTTACTTTTCAGCGCCAACGGATTGGGACTGTGACTTTGAAAAAGGAGATTTTTGTGGCTGGGAGCAGGGAAAATCTTGGACAGTGCAGGATGGGAGAAGAGCAGTTGAAAAATCACAAGGACCTTTTGCTGATCATACTAAAGGCAATGCTTTAGGTAATCAGAAGTAAAACTTCCCAACTATTTATAATACTGCCATGATTTCAAGTGGCATTTTTTTAAAGTGATATGTGGAATTCTATGTACCACTTGGATTTTGGAATCCTAATTCTCATTTTTTATTCAGGTCGATATGCTTATTATAATCCCTCTGAAAATTCTGGAAATGAGTTGATGAGCCCAGAAATCGATACAGAAAGTAGCAACTATTGTTTTAGATTTTGGTATTACATGCACAGCACTGCTCCAATATCACTTGAATTATATGTTTTGCAATGTAAGTCTACTTTTTGATTCCTAATGTAGGTTTCTTGAAGTTAAAAGTTCAGAATTATACATATTATATTGCTGTAACTCAAGTATTTACATAACTTTCTTTTTGTAGATAATAACTTAGCGGGTCCTTTATGGGTTAAAAAAACCAGCGCCGGAACAAAGTGGAAATATGGAACTTACTATTTGGAAAAATCGATCAATATGTCGATCGCTCTCAAAGGATCTCGTACTAAACCTGGAATTGGAGACATTGCTGTAGACGACATTTCATTCAATAGAGGACAATGTCCAATAGTCAGTAAGTATTAGACCTTACCATATACATAGTAGTACTCGAGATTGTCTAATCAAAACATTGTGGTTTTTTCACTGATAAGGAAACTAAGGAATTTGCACGGAATTGAAATTAGTCTAAAAAGTTCTTTAAATGCATTTAAAAGGTTAATTGTTCAGTTTTGCTCTAAATGTTCTAAATATTCCTAACTATTCGTATTTGTGAAAAATAAATAAACATTTTCTCCTTGACTTTGTTAATTAATGTACTTGATTTTTTGAAAGTGAATGTGTATCAGAAATTTTTTGTAACCTTTTTTACTGGCCAAAAATAACATTTGATCATCAAATGCTATCACATAATATTACGCAATACTTCCTAGAGCTCATTGGCAGTTTGAGGCAATTGAGATAAGGGCAATCTGTGTCGAACATTTTGTTCCTGCTTCACGTTTTTGCAAAATTAACTTCGAACTTATCTCATATTTATGTTGCGAAATAAAATTAAATCACATTACAGTAGTAATACTATGTAAGTACAGTAGTAATACTATGTAAGTACAGTAATAATACTACGCACAGTAGTAATACTACTCATTATGTTTCTAGTTGTAATAAATATTACCTTTCTGCATTCGATACAACTACCGTAGAAATTGTAGCAACTATTAATTTTGCCATCGTAAATGTACTTCCTAATTCAACAGTTAGCATTTGCTTCATCAAATATTATCTTTGTAAGGATCCGAAGATTTTGCAAGGAAAATCTGGTTCAAACAAATTTCAATGCCTCTTCAAAGTGCTGTCACCCTTTCCGATACCAGAGCTGCTACCCAGTGGATTAGCTTGACTCATTAACTTCCCTGAGATATCCTGGATTGTCAACTATTAACCTGGAAGATAACTCATAGCCTTCTGAGATATCCTGGATTGTCAACTATTTATAAAGAAGTTGGAATTGATGGATGAGATCATTGTTCCTAGAGGAGGCCAGGCTATTGTGGTGTAAGTGGTAATGAAAAAGCTGAAGAAGAGTGCTGTGTTTTACAACTCATTTGTTGTTGTTTCTAATCCNTTGTGGTCTAAGTGATAATGAAAAAGCTGAAGAAGGGTGCTGGTGTTTTACAACTCATTTAGTACGATTAAGTGTCTTATTAAGGATTCTTTTTTTCTCTTGACACTAAAAGGAACAAGGGATTAGAACCTCTCTCAAAAGTTGGTCATTCTTATAGAAAATTTGCATTCCCGACAGGCCCCATCATATGACGTCATCAGAGACTTTCTACACAGCATGTCTGCCTGGATTGGGATCTTTCCAGACCCACCCATACAGTACCATTTACGGTACGTTACGGTACACGTCATTTTGGATGGCCCCCATATTTCCTATTGTGAAGCGCTTTGACGGAATACCTTTGTCAAGGGGGACTAGGAGGCGGGATGAATGAGACAATGACTTTTGTAATTTTTTAATTGTTCCTTGTTTTTATTTGTTAAATTTTCTCAAGTTCTCTGGCATTGAAAATAATACGAAATTCAGCGCACAGTGTAGCACTACAAATAATTTGTTTAATGTAAATCTTAAATATCTTAATTATTAAATTAAAATTATTTTTCTTACAGAGGGACAACCATGTGAATTTGAGTCTTCTGATATATGTGGATTTAAAACGAGTACGACTGATGGTATTTTGTGGCAACGAGTACAAGCTAAGAGTATCAAAGGATTTGGGCCTAAAGTTGACAAAAGTTACGGAACAAATGAAGGTATGAGTTTTCAAATATGAAAGGTCTCTAAGTTTTTGCTTATAACAAAAAAATATAATTAAAAAAATAAAATAGTTAAATGAAATAATAAAAACAATAATTGCATGATCTAGCCAATGATAACTTACATAATTGACGTCTAGAACAAGAGTTGGTCAAAGTGTTCATGAAAATTACTATTTTTTGTTGGTAGAGCAATTATGAAGCATGGTCTTGAACGAAATACATTTGACATTTATATAATTGCTACATTAAGCACGGAGATCTGCTTTTCGAAAGGTAATACGGTACAATAGAGTAAATTTCAGCCATTAGAAATAAAATTGTATTGTGACGCAACTAAATAAAGTTACATTGATATTTTGACATAATTTAAATAAAAAAAACCCAATAACAACCAAACACACGCATATTAAAATAGTTTATATCTAAACTCATATTTACAAGGAGCAACTCACTTCCTGCTCTACGTGGACAGGGAGACCTCGAACATCGAAAAAGTAAAAAAGTGTCTGCACGTCTGGAGTGGCCTTTCCTTTCTCCTGACCTCAGTACGCAGGAAAACGTAAAGGATTGTCCTCAGTAAGGCTGTATATACAAAAAAAAATTTGAAGACTGCAATTGAAACTTTACATAAATTTAATTCTGTCGTACTTCTGGTATTGATAAATGGTAAACAACATGCCATGTTGTAAGTCATACAAGAATATGGTACATATTTTGGTTGCTAACAAAGTGGCTTTATTTGGATGGGACAATTTTTTCTCTCCTTTTTTGTTGATTGGGTGTTTTTTCCAGTCCAGTTGAAGCAGGGAGTGAGATAGTCCTTATAAATATGCGTTTAGATTTAGCCTTTCTTAATATATGTGTTTGGATTTACTTGCGTCCAGTTTCAGTACAAAATCATAGAGTCTCCATTTAGTTGGGATACATTGTAACAAAGTATTTTTTCAAAGATTTTGAATATAGCGAACCTTAATTTACCGAATATCGGAGTCTGACCACACTGCCAATTGTTTATGTAGTTTGCTCTAGAAAGAGGTTGATTTATTTAATTTTCAATACAATAAGCTAGTAAATCAAAATTTCCCTGTGAAATGAAGGCAAATATATAATTATGGGTTGCAGATGTGTTTTGTTTCAATTATAATGAATGCTAAAAAGGCATGTGTGTGCTTTTATGATGCACTCCTCAGTTAAAACGTGAAGAGATAGTCTCATTGCTTTAAATTTCTTTTATTCCTCTCATGAAATGATTCACCAATAGAAAATTTTAAAAGAAGTATTTGGAAAAAAATATTTAAATGATTTAAGTACTTTCTTTAAATCCTGTATTTCAGCGAATACTTCCTATTTTCATTTTAATTTGTTTAAATTCATTTTAATTTTTAAACACGCTCTAGGGCTTATAAATGTAGGATATTAAAATGGTTTCCTTTCTTTTTAAGGTCATTTTATGATGATAAGACCTTCACCAAATGGAAGAGTAGCGGGTGATAACAAAGCTTTGTTGATTATGCCAAATGTGCCAGCTTCTGGAATTTCCAGAAGTTGCGTCCAATTCTGGTACCAAATGGCTGGTGAAAACGTCATAGCTCTTCAACTGTATATGAGGACAGTAGATGGCGCTCTTCCACAGTTCTCTCTGTGGTCACACGGTAGCAAGCATGGAAACGACACTTGGAGAGTGGGACAAAGAACAATTGATGCACCCTATGTTCACGAAGTAAATATTTAATTAGAGTTTAAGTTCGTGAAATGAAGCAAACTAACATTTCAATTATTAACTTAAAATCGACTTATAGAATCTTCGAGGTACGCAAGACATTCGCATCACATACTAAAGAGCTTAGTTAAATTCACGTCAAACTAGTTTTAAATCCTTCAGGATAGGGAGTTTAAAGTTTAAATATATAATTTTTTATTAATTAATTTAATAGTTACTTCTTTCGATCCGCTGTTTTACAGGCGTAGAAAATCATCTAATTAAATCGTCGAGTTGGTTCGTGAGAATCCAATATTCATTCTGAATTAGTGACATTGATTCTAAACTGTCACTAATGCAGAATGAGTCCCTTTTCTACCACATTAGTGACATGATAGGGAGTTTAAAGTTTAAATATATAGTTTTTTATTTACTAATTTAATAGCTACTTCTTTCTTTCCACTGTTTTAGAGGCGTAGAAATTCGAAATAAATCGTCGAGTCGGTTCGTGAGAATCCAACTCTTTCTGCATTAGTGACAGTGATGTTAAACTTTATAGCCATCACTGATTTTAAACTTTGTATTAATCTTACAGCTCTAATCATTAGTAGGTAGATTTGTTAAAATGACTATCGTGGTAATAGTTTTAAAATTTTTTTACAGTCGTTTTGCACGGCTTTTACTCTTTTAAGTTGCAACCAAAACAAATTGATTTCGACAGCAAAAAAAATCTAAGTTTGTTTTTTATGATTATTCACGAACTTTAAATCTTTATTTTGATACATAAATTTCGCTACACGCATGTGTGCTGTCAACTAATGTTTGATATTCGCGTTTTAGATTGTGTTCGAGGCTGTGATGGAACGAGGTAGCGATGGGTTTATTGCTCTTGACGATATCGTTGTAAAAGATGGTCAATGTCCACCTCCCGGCTCATGTAATTTCGAAGCAGATTTATGCACGTGGCAAAATGCTGACTCTGGTGTGGATGTGGAATGGGTAAGGAATACTGGGTCAACCCCAACACAAGGAACCGGACCCGATAAGGATCATACTATTGNTATATATATATTGTAATTTGCCCTTCAGATACCTGTATTGACGAAACGTCATTTCCCAAGTTGGGAATTGGAAAAAAATATTCCTATATTCAATAATAGACTTAACTAGTCACTTTTATTCACTTTATCACAAATTTTTTATTCACTTGGTTGTACAAAATACTGGTTTACATTGTTTCAAATATTATTTGTAAATTCACTTATTGCACAGCTGCCAACGTTTACGCATTTTGTGAAATATTTTTCCAGTCGTAGAGAAATAATAACTATATTCAACTAACGTCAATAGAATATTTTAAAATTTTCCAGAATTTAATACTCGGTTGATTTTGAAATTTTTTATGCAAGATGTTCAGTTACTAGAGTTTTTAATACTTACTTTTGTAATCAAAAATGAAATTTAAACAGTATCATCTCACTGTTCCTCTGAAATATAATTAATATGATAATTAACGTATAATAACAAATTCATGATTTTATAGAACGAAACAACATTTTTCTGATTTTGAATGACTGCATTTTGAGCCTTCTTAAACAATAAAAAGTTCAAAGGGTGTTTTAATTTGTGGCCACAAAGGTTGGTCAGTTAAAATTTTAAACCATTTAAGCCTAACAAAAAGTGAGAAACTGATTAACGTATGATGATATCGCATCTTTGCGGCAGACATAAAGCAGAATAAAAATAATACATATTTTAGTGTATAATTTAAGAATTCAGCAATTACTATTTTGCACTTAGCAACTTTTTGTAAGTAAAAAAAAAAGGAATAATTCTTGAACTTTTGTTTAATTAGAAGTTAATATTGCTAGATGCATATTGCTGAGAGATTTTATTTTTATTATTTTTCAGGATCTTACATATATCTGCAAGGCAGTAATCCGGAAAAGAAGAGAAACCTCGTTGGTATTCTTCAGTCAGAATTCTTCAGCTTATCAACACAAAGATGTCTAACCTTCTGGGCACACATGAGTGGAAAAGAAATGGGAACTTTAAAGGTGAACTTATTATATTATAACGGGGATCAGATAGTGAGCTTGGACAAGGAAACCTGGAACATCACGGGAGATCAGGGCAGCAAGTGGTTCAGTCGACAAATAACTATCGACATCGACGGTCTCATAATGCATGATGAGTACCAGATTCAGTTCACTGGCATAACTAAGGGTGATTTGAGTGATATAGCTCTTGATGACATTGAAGTTAGCAGTGGAAAGTGCTACGACGTGCCGGATGATGCATTCGACTGTAGAGATGGGTCACATGTTAACGCCAGTCGAGTATGTGACTTTGAGAAAGACTGTCCAGGAGGCGACGATGAAGCGAACTGCGGTGCTTGTGACTTTGAACAGGGTGCTTGTGGATGGGTTGACAAAAGCGCTAGTTCGTACCAAAAGTGGGACAGAGTTCCTGGTCAGAATGATACGAAGAAATTTGGTCTTGGATACGATCACACATTTAGATCACCTACAAGTTACTTTATGATTGCTGAAAATAATTATTATTACACATGGCAAGTTCCTATTTTGCAGAGTGCAAGTGGTCAGTTCCAGTTCAAAAGATCGTATGCTTCATGTTCAATGATATTTTATTATGCTTTTAAAGAAAATTCAAACGCATATTTACGAGTTAGGAAAAGATTCGGCGTTTATACCGTTGGCACTATTTGGGAACGTTATGGCTACTTGAATGAGGGATGGCAGAAAGGAACTGCCTATTTGGGAACAACAGAAAGACCTTTCAATCTTGAGTTTACTGTAGAAGTTTCTTATCAGTCAACATACGTCGTGATTGATGACATAATATTTGAAAACTGTAACATGCCAGAAAAGAGAGATACATGCAGCTTTAGAGATTTCAGGTGCGCAAATAACAGATGTGTTTCTAAGTATTACTTATGTGACTTATCAGATGATTGTGGCGATGGATCTGATGAGGCTCCTTCCATCTGTTCCAAGTATCCCAAGCCATGTACGTTTGAAACTTCTGGAGACTGTGAGTGGACCGTGAAAGGAAAAGCTACGTAAGTATCGATTAGTTTTATTTTTCATATTTGAATTCGTTTCAATAATTCGGTTTTATTTCAACATACGTACGTATTAAAGAGCTACGTACGAGCGTATGGTGCATGGAACGTACACATTGAAAAGGTACGAATGTACCGAATAGTTTTATTTTTCACAACTGAATTTTACTTGTAATAAGTTAATAGAAAACACAGAACTATTTGTTTATGATTTGTTTTGTCAGTTATTCATTAGCTTGCTGAATTATTGAATTTGTGATGTAATATTAGAATGCTAAATTTAGAAATCGGTAGAAGCAAAGTATGCATGCTCAATTCAAACTTATAAGAAAGTTTTGTATGCAAATATGTTTATATATATATTATTTATTGAGAGTGGAAATTTTAATTGTATTCATTAAAAATTACATATCGATTTTGATGTTTAAGGTTTGATTAAATTTCTCAAATTTCCGTCATAATTACGTTCAATGACAATTTAGCGTTATATTCTGACGGAAAAATAAAAAATTGTTTCACTAATTTTCAGGAGAAACACGAGGAAAAAATTATTACATGAATTTAATTTTAATCGAAATATTCTTTAAAAAAATTTGATAAAAGAGTTCTCACTTCCCAAGAAGTTAAAAAGCAAAAATTTGGAATCAAATTTTTTACAATTAGTTTTGTAATAATAAGAAAAACTACAAAAATCTTCATTTTGAAATTTTATAATTATTGGATAATAGGAGATAGTTAGAGTAATTGACGATAATGCAAAATTATACGTTTTTAACAAGACAGAAATCTGAAATTCAATCCACGTGTTCCGTATAAGAATTATAAGAAAACTAAAAAATTTCAGTTCAACATTTTGTAATTTTCCAGGTGACTAACCCAGCCGAAAGTTAATGCCAAATAATAGTTTATTCTGAAGATAGAAGCCTAAAATTTAATTTCAAATACTCGTTTCGTATACATTGAGGAAAAAAACTAAAACTATTTCATTTTGATATTTTCTAATTGTCGCGGTAATTATCCCAATTGAAGTTAATGCAAATAAAAGTTTGTCGCAGTGATAAAATTATCAAATTTAATCCCGACCACGTATTTCTTATCAGATGAATAGGAAAGCTAAAAACATCATTTCGATATTTTCTAGTTATCAGGGTAGAAAAAAAAAGTTAGTATGTATAGTTTGCCCAAGTGATAGTAATGCTAAATAACATGCTTTGCTTAGATACTAGTCTCCAATTTAGACCGTGCACTTATTGGATAAATAGGAAAATTAAAATGTTTCTTGTATATACTAATTGATACAATTGCTTTTCTCACCAGATATCAATTAATTTCAAAATTTATTTCAGGAACTACTGGCAAGTGTGGAGTGCATTATCATCTAGATCACAATCCAATTCTGGACCTTTAGTTGATCACACCAAGGGAGCGGGAAATGCTGGAAGATATTTAAGTTTGAGGCGATATTACGATGAGAGGAAAGACAACCAATCTTACTATCACAGTCCGAACTACATACGAAAGAACGGCGCGGCAGATTGTTCGCTCAGATTCTACTATTATTTGCATGGTTCCGATAATGCCTACATAAGGGTTTACACAGAGACAGAAAAGGACGGTTGGAACTGGGTACGAAGATTTGCCATATATGGAAGTATAGGACAAATGTGGAACCGTGCAATTGTAACTGTATGGAGCCAACAAGCATTTCATTTCATAATTGAAGGTAATCCTGGCTACAACAGATCTGATCGCATTGGAATTGATGACATTTCATTTACTGATGGATGCGAGAAATATTTACAGGACCTGCCAACACCTGTACCAACTCCTTTACCAACAAGATCTCCTTGTACTAACGCTCAATTCAAATGTATTGCTGGCCAACCTTTGTGTATTCCAAAAGCGAAAGTTTGCGATTTTTCACTTGATTGTTCTGATGGTTCTGACGAGAAAAATTGTGGCCCGTGTGACTTTGAAGAAGATATGTGCGGTTGGAGAGATCAGAGTCCTGGTAAATATGACTGGAAGCGCAAAAATGCATCTGAAACTGATAATTTCGGACCACCAACGGATAGCAGAAACTCTTCAGTAGGATTTTATGCTTATATCAAGGAATCGTCAGGGTTTTATGCTACAAACGCTTTGTTAGTAAGTCCAAACCTTCCTCCAACATCATCACATTGTGTTATGGCTTTTTGGTTATATGTAACACGTAGTTCAGCTGGATCTTTTTATGTACAACACAGTTCACCTTCATATTATTACAGATTTGATACAATCTGGACCCTTCCATCTTCATTTGAATCAAACTGGCAACGCATTGAGGTAAAAATACCAATGGCAACAAATAAAGGTTCGAAGGTTAGGTTCAACAGCTTTCCAAGTTGGAATTACCTTACAAAGGAGAAAAATGTTGCAATTGATGACATCAATTTCTTAAACTGTAACCCTAAAGACCTTTTAGTTGATTGTGATTTTGATGACGACAGTTTTAACGGTGGACTTTGTCATTGGACAGAATCTAGTAATAACTGGATTGGCTTAAAATGGAAGCGTGGTAAAGGATCGACGGAACGAAATTTTACTGGTCCCACATCTGACCACACAACAGGTAAGGGCTATTACATGTATCTTGATGCAGACGGAAGTAGTCCATATTATACTGCTCGCCTTAACAGTCCGACTCTACCGATGAATCAGCCTGATGGAAACTGTTTCTCATTTTGGTATCATATGTATGGTGCTCATGTTGGAAGTCTCCGTGTACATGCCAGGCGTGGTTACTTTTACCGAGATCATTTAATCATTTCAAGATCTCAGGGAAACAAATGGTATTTTTCAGAAGTCTTTATATCATCTGCCATGGATCACATGATCAGCATTTTTGGAACGACTAATTGGGGAAAGGAACATAATATTGCAATTGATGATATCAAAATGACTGATGGTCCTTGTCATGGAACTCGTAAATGTAGTTTTGAAGAGGACTTGTGTGGTTGGAATTCGACTTATGAAGGGCTCAGCGGATGGAATAGAGTACAAGGCAGCGGAAATTGGAGTGATGAAAGACCAAGCGTAGATCACACAACGAATTCAGAATTCGGACATTTTGTTGTTCTACCATACAAAAGACGAGGTGACTTAGCCAGGTTAGAAAGTCCACTTTATAAAAACTATGGAGAGGTGTGTGTGAAATTTTGGTACAATATGTTTGGAAATGACATTGGTACGCTGGCAGTTTATCAGAGAACAATGCAAGAAGGCCGACTAGAAAATCTTAAACACTTATGGAAAAGATCTGGAGATCATGTGGGTGTGTGGAAATTAGGACGCGCCACTATGAGCTCATTACCTAGCTTTTACATCGCATTTGAGGCTCAAACTGGAGCGGGACCCATTGGATATATAGCTCTAGATGACATAGAAATTACTCATGGAAAGTGTTCTGATCCTGCTTCGTGTACTTTCGAAATTGACACTTGTGGATGGAGTAACTCTGCCGCTCATTCAGATTTTGATTGGTTTAGGAGAGCTGGATCGGACAATAATGCGGGAGATGGTCCTGCAGGTGATCAAACTACTGGAACTATCCAAGGTCATTACATGTATGCTCTTTTATCAGGATCTAAAGAAGATGCAAAATCCACACTTTTGAGTGAAGACCTAGAAATCTATCCAAATTACTGTTTAACCTTCTGGTTCAATATGTACAATGCAGTTAATATTTCTTTGCTGGTTGAACAAGAACAAGTAGGCATGGAATGGGAAGTTATAGAAGAAATTAAATCTGATTTTGCTTTATCTGGGGTCTGGATAAAAATAGAAAACAATATTACCACAACACCTGCAGGTGATTTCTTCCAACTCGGAATTACAGCACTAGCACTCAGTTCACTAGACAATGACACTTATCGTGGCATAGCTGTCGATGATTTATCTTTGACAAAATCCTATTGTGGAGGCGAAACTATATCCACTGTACCACCAATCATCACTACCACAGCTTACCCACCATCAAAATTTGATTGTACATTTGAAAATGACCTTTGTTTATGGGAAAATGATCCCGAATTAAAACAAACAAAATGGGACAGAGTATCAGGCCATTCAAATAAGAAACTAACACGCCCACGCACAGATCATTCCTCACTCTCTTCCCAAGGTTACTATTTGACTTTGAGTGATTCTGCTAAAAATGACTATTTTGCCAGAGCAAAACTTTTGACTATGGATGGTATAGATTCTTCGGTAGACGGAGTCTGCTTTAAATTCTGGTATCACATGTATGGCAATAACCCAGGAGCGTTGTATTTAAAAGCCCAAAACTTCCATGACAATGACAAGACTGAAACGCTTTGGACAAGATCTAAATCACAAGGACCAAATTGGAAATATGATCAAGTTTTTATTAAGAAAGACTATGCATTCAAGATTTTATTCGAAGGAGATGGTACGCGATATGGAGACATATCTCTAGATGACTTTTCGCTGAACACCAAATCTTGCCCACCTAGAGACTTTTGCGATGTTGAGCAAGATTTCTGCGAATTCAGTCTCGATCCTGAAAGTGACTTTGATTGGAAAAGAGGAGCTGCTTACCAAACAAGAGGTGGACCCGACGTGGATCACACTTTAGGCACAAGATATGGATATTATTTTTACGTGGATAAAAATGAAAAAGTTTCTTTGGGACAAGTAGCCAAACTAGACACCAATGATGTTCAACCAGACAAGCAATGCATACAGTTTTGGTACTATCTGTATGGAAACGATGTTGGAACACTTGAAGTTCTTGTTAAAAATGGAGACACCACGGAATCTAAATGGAAAGAAACTGGGGATAGCAGTGAATTCTGGCACGGATCGCAAGTAGTGTTAGACAAAAAATTTGCCACAGCTTACAGTTACATCTTCCAGGTAAATATCATTTTGGTAAAATAATTATACTCTGAAATCCCATTCAGTAAATACATTTCCTAACAATATTAATTGAACAGAATTCTTCATTCTAATATTGTTTACAAATCATATAATATATAATAAAATACTAAAACAAGAAAAAAAAATTGACGGTAGTTAAAATGAAATAGTACAATTTTAAAAGATGTTCTTCCTTATCTATCTCACTCTCTCTCTCTCTCCATATCTCTGTACATAGTAGTTCCACTCCTGCTTATTTATGGATCTCAAGAATTTTTCTTGCCAAAATTGTGAGAATTTCACCAAAAGCGTTTCCTCAATTTTTTCCTCAATCCTCAATCACTACATCGTATATCGTGATATATATTTTGTGAAATGTAATGAAAATAAAGAAAAAGTGAATTAAATATACTTAAATAAACAAAAAAGGTTTAGAAAATGTAAAAAAACAGCACATAAAGCAATAAAATCAATACTCACATTAAAATGTGTGGCTTTTGACAAATAGCTTTAAGGTTAAGGTTTTGTCTAATATGATGCAAAAGCTGTATTTAAAGGCATACATTATGTTTTAATGTTAATTTCCGCGCATGCGCTGTGAAGCTCAATTAACGTTAGAAGGAAAACATTCCCTTTTTATTAGGAAGCTAAAGCGCTAAAGTTCTCGAATATCTGCAAAAGTCTATAAAGTTTTCTCCACTCTTGAAAAGAAAAAAAATGTGAAAATATTTTGATTTACCAATAGTAGATAACAGTATTTTAACATTTCCTTGTATTTAAAACTTGAATAATGTTTCGTGAATTGACGAAGAGGATATACTATTTACAATTCTTTAAGACCTCTTTTATGAAGAGAGTGCGCTAAATTAATGGATGGCAATAATTAGACACGAACAAAGTTTAACCCAAGAATTCTAAATAACTGTTACTAACTTAAAACAGTTATAAAAACAACACATTATAAAATACGTATAATTTTCATCACCGAATCGTATTCGAAAATCGTCTTTGAATCCCTTGATTTCATTTATAAAACTGAGTAACATTGTTTGTGGTTATTTTTACTCCTTAGGTAACTGCTGGTTTAGGATACGTAAACGGTACTATCGCCCTTGATGACATAGCAATAAAAAGGGAATGTCCACCTCTAGGGTCCTGCAACTTCGAAGACGGGATGTGTTTGTGGACCAATGACCCCACAGCTGACCTCCAATGGGTGAGAGGCACAGGTGAAATGACAGATGTAGCACCAGAAAACGACACAACACTTGGAAATCAATTTGGTACCTACTTATACGCACATGTTATATATAGTTGGAAGTCCAACCCGACACCAGCCAGGCTGCTGTCCCCTTACTTCCCCACAACTCAAAGAAGATGTGTCAATTACTGGAATTTCAGAAACGGGACAGACTTTGACGGTGCGCTGACAGTATCGGTATATATGGACACTGTAGATGAGGTGACTGAAATGCAGCATTTGACGCGAGAGAAATTGGGACGATGGAATAATGAACAGGTGCAAGTCTCGCCTGACGACACGGATAAAGATGGAAAATATCAAATACTTTTTGAAGCTCAATTGACTAACTCGTAAGTACTGAGACATAAGAATGCTTTTTGACTTCTGATATAGTGATTTATATTGCTTATATAATATGTCTGCAGATGGGTGATTCTCCAAAAATTTAACAACATCATGTCCAAACAGAATGTATTACAAGATTGTCTATGGCATCGAAAGTCGTTATTTTTTGTACTTTAAAGATATAATTTTTCATATACATTACCTTGCACATGAAAAAGTTCATTACAAACTGGACAATTCTCTGCAAAACATACGGAGTTGGTTCAAAAAGGAAACACGAAAAAATATCAAAACAAAAAATATTAACAATACAAATAAGTGGATTCAAATGTATTCAAAATAACTTTGAGAGCTCTTTTTGACGGTTTCTGAAAGGGAATGACAGACTCATGTTGCGGTTAGAGTACACTAAAGACGATTCTATCAATGATTAGAGTGGCAAGTTAATAAATTAGGAAAAAAAAGTTAATAAATTAAAACAAATGACACCTCAAACAAACAAATCTCTTCTCATTTTTGAAAGCTAACTATTTTTTATGTTACAAAATTAAATGCAAATTTAAACAAAAAGCATTATTGCTTATTTGAAATAGTTCTATTGTTCATAATTAGTAAATTTGTTTTTACACATAAGTAAAGATTATATTTATTGACGGTAAATTTTGCTCATCGATCCGGTTTTTATCAATGGCATTTCCGCACCAAGAAATTGAAACTAAGAAAAATTCAAATTGTTGCGGAAAATTGCGTACCTTCGATAACATCTTGAAGTCAATGAAGGAATGGAACAGAGAGTGGTCACTTCCGAGAGGTTTCACTGTATATATATTAGACGTAAAATAGCATTTTTTGAGTCCGTTTAATAACTTAACTCATGAAGGTGTGTCATTTGAAAGTTCTTCCAGTTGTTTTCCTATCGCTCTCCTGGCTCAGGGAAGTTTTCTATTGTTCTAGAAAAAGACAGAAATTTTTCAGTCTTGCACCTGCAACACTGTTTATTCCAACCATTCTGTTCCTTTGATTAAGTACATTAAAGAAATTATTCAACCAATGTTCTTATCATAACTTTGTAGTTCTAAAAGAAATGTATAATGCAATGTTTATTAAGGTCGTGATTCGAATCGAAGAACATTTTTAAGCCTAAATCTGCTTTTGAAACTTGTTGGCCGACCTTACTTTAGAAAATATAACACTCTTACTATGCAAAAATGTCAATCTTCTGGTATTTACTGAGTACCAGAAGATTATCCTGAAAACCAGAATCGTTAAAGTGAGTTCACTTTATTTTTCTCTCTTTAAATGTTTAAAGAGTGCGAATGATTATTTTTAGATATGTAAAGAACTTTGATTTTTAAGAATTTGTGATTTGAAAATGTCAAGTTTTTGGAGAATTCCCAGATATGCCTTTAACTCAGCAGAAAATCTTCAGAAGTAATATTTTAGTTAAAAATCTTTGCCAGAAATGTTAGAAGCATTTTGTAATAAAAATTGATTTTGTTTGGTAGAAGAAGCTGAAAGCAATCGTGCGTTTTAATATTAAGTATATCGTCAAACTGTACAATGGTAATTTTGCATTCTATTATTAATTTTATAATGTGTGATTCAATTCAATTGTGCAATTTTTCACAATTCAATTATCTATGTTTTCAAAAATCTTTTTTATTAATGTCAAATTCCGGATGATATTTCAGAAAAATTTATCAATTTTATGATTTAGTTTTTTTTAGATTATTAGAAAATATTTAATAAGTAAAATTTTTTTCAATAATTACCCGGAACAGAAACAGCAAAATTATGAACTTAAAATGAAAGTAATAGATAGAGTCATGGATTGAAACTTTTAATACATATTTTAGCACTTTTTACCGTCTTACGGAATTTAAAACATTTACCAATCCCTATTTATATATTTTGTAAGCACGCGGCCACCAAAGTTAATATAAACTTTGATTAGAAAATAATTATTTCAATTCATTTATTGAACTAGATGCTTAAACATCATTTACAGAAAAAACAAAAAATGTTTAAAACTTTATGTTTTAAGTCATACACAGTTGTTTGGTTTTAGCGTTTGCAAATCGTAAACTGATAAGTAGTAGCATAAACATTTTGAGACCTTCAGTAAAATAACGTAATTTAAGGGTTAAAAAAAGGAAAATGCTAAAATAAATTTTTTGAAGGACCTTTCAAAATCCTAATACTGATGTAATTGTTTTTGCTAAAAAGAGCGTTGAAATTGCTTTTTTTTATTGTCAAAATAAAAAATATTGCACAAGTGAAGAGCTTAGTGGTAAGTGGAGCCGATAAGTGACAGGGTATTTATTATTCAGAGAAAATAGTAAAAATGCGCCTTCTCAGTACGGGTATGCTTAATGTAAAGGAATTGTTTTTGCTTTTTTTTTAATTTCAACATGACAAATCGCACATTAGTTTTGAGTATGACTGCAGGGTTTTTATTTCAATTTAGGTTATGATTAATAAAACATGGCAAAAGATTATTAGCCCTACCTTCTTATTAATAAATCTATTGTAAAATAGTTCAGATACCGTTTTTTTCCTTCTTACCTTGATTATAGCCACTCTGAAAATATCACATACCTGGTTCATCTACTCAGCTTTTCAAATACTGTAATGATGCGTGTGTGTGTGTGTTTCCATCTGTTATCAACGCAAGCTGTAAGCTTTGGAGGAACATCATATTTGTCTTCGACTTCATGTTGCTGTTAATATATTATGATAGAAAAATTTAATACGTATGGTAGAATATATCTATTTGCAGAATAAATTGTTAATTTTGGAATACTTTTTCTACCACTTTTTTTTCTTTTTGTGTAATAGTGTTTGCATAGGTGGTAGCAAAAACAACTATTAATGAATGTTATGAATAAATTAAAAGATTCTACCAAAATCGCATTTAAAATAATACAGTTGCATTTTTTAATTATTCTTTTCCTGATTTCTTTTGTCCTATTTATTGTATATAAAACTGATGTCAATTTCAATATTATTTTTTTTTATTACAGAGTGAATAACTTTATTGCTCTTGACGACATAAATGTTTACGAGGGTGACTGTATACCTATAGAGGATAGAAAACCAGACTTTACTTGTGACGAAGGCTCAACTCACATTTCTGATGACTACCGGTGTGACTTTTATGAAGATTGCAAAGACGGTGCCGACGAAAAATCTTGCGGTACTCACTGTGATTTTGAAACTGAGGAACCTAACCCTTGCAACTGGGAGACAAGTACGAACAAGGCTTATTGGAACCGAACACTGGCTGATGGAAAAGATTATCCCAAAATGGATCACACTAAACAAGATCCTGGTAAAGGTTACTACATGAAGGTTACTTTGGATCGTTTCACATACAGAGGAAGGGCTGATTTCAAAAGTCCAGCTCTAATGCAATCTGCGGCAACATGTCGCATGTTTTTCTGGCATTATTTCTCCGCCTTGTATGACAATGAAGCTCTTTCTGTATATTATGAATCTGGCCATGTAAGTAAAATAACAGAGCTTTTCCGCCTGCAAGGGGACAAGCAAAAATCATGGATGAGAGGTGAAGTGATTGTGGGCCGAATAGCACACAGATTCCGAATCGGCATCGCTGGAGAAAAGAACGCGGCAACGTCTGTCTTTGCAATTGATGATATAGATTTTGAAAACTGTGACATACCAAGACCTCTTTTAGAGCCTAAGAAATGTAAAGACAAGGAATATCAGTGCGCAAACGGAAACTGTATATCAGGCATGCTCTTGTGTGACTTTGTGGATGATTGTGGTGATTATTCAGACGAAAACAGGCTCTTGGCAAAATGCGATCAATACCACGGTCGGTGTGATTTTGAAGGTGGTAACTTCTGTGGATGGAAAAGAGCACCAGAATCTGATTTTACGTGGTCTATATTGGCATACTCTAATTCTTATTGGAATAAAGCACTCGCACCTAGGGACCATACCAAAAATTCTGCCACTGGAAAATATTTGTATTTCAGCAACTCTTACCGTTATAGAGGTCAAGTTGCTCGATTAGCATCAAAAGTATTGGAAAGTACTGGTGAGGACTGCAACATACGGTTTTTCTACACTTATGGAACTGTGTTTAATTCAACGAAGTACGATGAAACGAAAGACATTGGAACTTTGGTAATTTACGTAAGACGAGACGAAATAAGTCCATGGAAACCTATCTTTACCACGCGAGAACCACCTGGTCAGTATTGGGAAAAAGTTGTTTTGCCCCTTGGCCATATTAAAGATCCTTTCGAAATTATTATTGAAAGCCGTATAGGTGGTACTTCTAAAGATGGAGGATGGGCTGTCGATGATGTGTCATTCACACCTGGATGCTTGATCTCTAACGAAACCCTTCCCTTGTCGATCCTTGAACCAACAGACCCACCAGTGACAGAATGCAAGGAAAATGAATTTCTGTGTTACAAAGACAAAACAGAAAAAACGTGCATAAGCACTGAACAGGTGTGTGATTTCGTACAAGACTGCTATAACCTCGAAGATGAAGATAAATGTGGAACATGTACATTTGATGATGATCGTAATCCGACATGTGGCTGGTTCGATGTTGTTGGGAATCGATGGCAAAGAGGTAAAGGTGCTCAAGGATCAAATGGCTTGACAGGTGATCTTTCAGGTAATGGTTATTATATGTATGTAAACAAAGAAAGTAGCGGATCAATTACTAGTCAGGCGAGGTTCAGATCTGTCGACTTGAAATACGCAGCAGCTTCATGTGAAATAAGTTTCTATTACTTTATGTCTGGCATCAATTCTAATGATGCTTCTCTGAAGCTACAGTTACAGGATAGAGATAGAAACGATGTACTGCTATGGCGTGAACTTTCAGATCAGGGGAAACACTGGAATAACGCAACTGTAAGCATTGGTAGACGTCTGTCTGGCTGGCATTTGGATTTCATTGCAACGCATATTCTTAGCGCAGGTGACATTGCCATTGACGAAATAGACTTTTTACGGTGTGCGCCGCCAGAGAAACGGACATGTTTTGACAAAAATGAATTTGCTTGTTACAGTGGTGAGTGTATTAATGGTTCATTGGCTTGTGATTTTAGTCTTGACTGCCCAGATGGTTCGGATGAATGGAACTGCACAGATTACTTAGAAAATTGTGATTTTGAGGATGGCTTTTGCAACTGGGTGCAAGAACCTAACTCTTCTCCGAAGTGGAACAGGACATCGGGTAAGAAATTGCCTGAGGGCTTCACTCCGGATAGAGATCATACACTTGATGATGAAACTGGACATTTTCTAATGGTTAAAAAATCTGACTACTATTATTGGAATGATGCTAAAATTAAAAGTACGGTATTTATCGCTGACATCTCTGGAAATTGTAAATTAAGGTTTTGGTATCATCTTTATCTTCCATATACAAGTAAAATAACCGTAAGTTTGATGTATCAGGACGACAATAGACCCCGACAACTAGCTAATTTCATGGGTTCTAATGGAGATGAATGGCAGAGAGGAGAAGTAGTTTTGAAGAGTCAATTTAATTTCCATGCTATAATAGGTGGCACGCCAGCATCAGGGGATAAAGGTAATGTTGCAATTGATGACATATCGTTCACTCTAACATGTGTTCCACTTTATACCGAAGTGACGACTCCGGTACCCACTATACAACCAAAGGGTGTATGTGACACAAAGGGCGAGTTTGCATGCGAAGATAATGCCTGCATACCAATGGATTCTGTATGCGATTTCAAAACAGACTGCCTGTATGGACTTGATGAGAAAGATTGTCCTGCTTTCTGCGATTTCGAACTGGGATCCACTTGTGGTTGGAAGGTTATAACTCAAGAAGGTGATGGTATAGAAGTAAATGTGACAATCGCTTCTGAAGCGAAAAAGGTTGTATTTGGTGCACCACAAGAAGATAAAACAACTGGCAAAGGTGAAGGTTCTTACCTACTAATCCATAGTTCATTTGATTCTCAAACCAGCCCCCTGGACGATTATAAAAGTCCCACCTTCCATAATTCTGCAACAACATGTAAATTTTCCTTCTGGATTGTTAGCCGAAGTTTTTGGATGAATCCTAAACTTACTTTAACCACAGATAAAGAATCAATTGATATGGCCACACTAAAATCTTTTGGTCAATACGCCTGGACAAGAGTAGAAACTGGCATAGGTCGACAAAAAAGCAACTTCACAATTAACTTCAATAAAAAAGGTGGCATAAAGCAGTGGGATTTCATTGCAATTGACGACATAGAGTTTATAAACTGTGCATTACCTAAGAAATATGATGATATTTGTCTAGGGTTCCGCTGTAAAACAACAAAAGCCTGCATAGATTACGATCGTGTTTGTGACGTGACAGATGACTGTGGCGACGGAACTGACGAAGCTGACTGTGAAGCTCAGAACTTTATTAAAACAGACTTTGAAAATGGATTGGGAGTTTTTAACTTACTTATTGACAGCAGAAAAGCACCGATATCATGGGAAATCAAAGCAGGCATTTCTCACAATTATGTAACTCAAAAAAGTGGACCACCTTTTGACCACACTTTATCGAACACTGATGGACATTACCTCTCTATGACCAAACGCAGGGAAGGTGGAATGAACGAAAAAGCTTGGCTTGTTTCCGATGTTCTTAGAAGTATCGCCAAAGGAGAGTGCCAAATGAGGTTTTACTACTTTATGTACGGTAAGGATGTTAATCAGTTGAATATTTACACCATTAAAGAACAAGGAGGAAGTTTTACTAGTTTGTGGACCCAAAGTGCTGCAATTGGTAATTTCTGGATGAGAGGTGCTGTATTTCTCAACGATTCTAATCCATTCCAAGTCATTTTAGAAGGCAAGTCTGGTCTTGATACAGCAGATGTGATTGCTCTTGATGACATATCATTCACAGGTGGATGCAGGTAAGTTATTTTTCTCCTGTCGCATTATTGAAAAAAACTCAATTACAAATAAAAAATTTATAACGTTATACAAGTAATTTTTGGAATCCATTTTAGCAAACTAATAGAAATGTTATCATGGAATATCAATAAAAGAAAAAACTACTTTTAAATATTTTTGGATCTACTTTTAATTGTTTTTAGAGGATCTAGGGAACTATAACAGAAACTACATGACGTAAACACAACCTTGACGTAAGCACAAACAGTGTTATATTTAGAATCAATTTTACCAAAGTAATGGAAATTTTATAATGGAGCGTCAATATGAAAAAACCCCAACTTTTAAGCATTTTTGGATCCACTTTTAATTAGTTTTAGAGGTTTTTAGGAACTATAACAGAAACTACATACATATCCCAGTAAAGAATTTGATGCAATGTTTTTTTTTTATACTTTGATAATTCGAAGACGATGATTTGTTTCTCGATTTCTTTGTCTATTTTGATAATGTGGCGTCTATTTATTTATTTATTATTCTACTTTGATAATTCGGAGACAATTTATTTATGTTTTATTTATTCTTCTTCTTTGTCAAATTATTCAGTGATTTTTTCATTATTCTACTTCTCTAACAACTCGGATACAATTTGTAAGAGGAAGAGAGGGAGAGAAGTTTTTTTGACACGTTCTATGAAAACATTATATATACTATACATTGTTTTAATTTAATTTAAAAAAATTTGTGAAGTTAAATTGTTTTTTTTTTGAATTTTTGAAAGTAAATTGGTTTTTTTTATTGAGAAAAATTAAAGATTAAGATATTTTTTAACTACTGCTTAAAAATTATATTGAATTATTGATTCGCCAACTTGGTCTAATATATTTGTGCATCTTTCTGGCAGTTGCAGGATTAAAAGTTCAAACTTTTTCCAATTTTTACTGAAACTGATCTTAATCAGTTTTGGCGTCTTCAATTGTAGTAAAAGTTTTGTCATCTAACGAATTTTTAAGAAACTGAAACAAGCAACTACACGAGAATATCTGATTTGGGGAATATGTTGTAGGTGGTAGCTCATTCCATATAAGACATGCAAGGTTTTGGGGAGTTCTCAAATTCTTATAAAAATTTTCATTAAATGTTAGGAACACCAATAGCTTCACAATTGATAAATTTTGATATTTTTTGTTTGATTGTGTCATTCGATTTGTAGGGCAGTCAACTTTCTGTGCTCTTGAGGAAAATTTCTTCTAGTGGTAGCTAAGTTTATATTTTGATGTATTATTCTTTGTTTTGTATATTAGATTTAAAGTTTTTTTTTCATACCACAATATGTAAATGATTCAAAACTTTATGCAAAAAGCCACTTACAGGAAAAGAGTGCAAGATTCCAATTTTTTTTTTACATTACATATTTTAAAAATTACTTACCAAACTTAGAAACAGGTGGTACAATAAACTATACAAAGCACAGCTAACATAAACAAAGGTTACCAATTGGTGGCTTAGTACGCAGGGGGTTGTAAAATTGAACGAAAATTTTCAAAAGATGACGCTGAGCATTATTTGTCTAAATACGGAGTCGAAATGCATTGTATAGCATACAGTCCTTTACATCACGCAACGCCATCTGTTAACAACTTCGTAACTAAATCGAAAAATCATGTACAAAATTCTTGCACCTCTCGTTATTAATATGCAGTCTTTTTTTTCTTCATTATCTCAAACATTATTTAATACTAAAATCATTTAGTCGTCCTCTAGATATTCATGGTAATAGTAGCTTATAGCAGAAAAAAAAATGTAGCTGTATGCAGAAATTTTTAAATACTTAATGGAGTAATATAAGTATTTTCTTCTTTCAATAAGTTATTCAACAAAACGCAAAGTTTATTTTATAAAGATTGCCTCCAGACCCATGACTGTGTATAGAAGTTAGAGGTTGTTTAATAGTGTATATATTACATATTTTTACTTCAATGAGATGCTTCAACGAATTTTGTTACTTAATTGGTAAATATTGTCTTCAGGCGGATGGCTGGAGTAACTTTGCCACCAAAAGAAGTGACCGGAACTTATCCTACAACAACACGAGAGCCAACAAATTGCAGAGCAGACCAATTCACCTGCAAGAAAGACAAACTCTGCATTCCTTCGTATCAGAAATGTGACTTCAGGAAAGATTGCTACGATGGAAGTGATGAAGATGACTGTGGTAAGTAATAGATAAATGGTCTTAACAGCTACTTTTAAGACGTCTAATAACAATAACTGTCTTAAGTAACAGACATTATATTATATCTTATCAGTTACGCACTGTTATATCTTATCAGTTGCTTTTGATGTCATCCTTATTAGCATTTCTCAGTCGTTAAACACAGCTCCCTACTTTTCCGGTCTGCGCAAAAGATTTTATTAAGTTAGTAAAATTTTTGTCTGATGTTTCATTTAAACCAATTTGATTTAAAATGATATTTATACAACCGTTATATCTAGTTAATTTAGAAATATATATGAAAAATCTGAGAAATAATTTTCCTGGGGAGGGGGGAGGTGGCATCTCTAGAATAATAAATAATTAATCAGGGTTGGGAGGGCCTCCCATCCCTAGACAATTGTTGTTGATGTTCCATCAAACGTTCTGTAGTGTGGCGGTAAGCTGTTCGAATGGGTGTATCTTCCCGATGTCCTTCTATAACTTACGCTACCCCTTCTTCAACTTATCAAGGGCTCATAATGCTTTTTATTACTTTTTTTATATGTTTTTTGCTACTTATCATTGCTTTGCAGAAAAAGGCATTCAAATACTCAGAGCAAATGCAAAAGATGCGTTTGTCATCAGAAATGTAACACAAAAACTAATTTTTTGTAATTATTTTTCATTTATTGAAATTTAAAAGAGACATAGATTCTCTGTTAACATTCTATTAGGTGAACTATAATACTTTTAATTCTTGACAACAAATACTTTATTCTTGATTAACAGATGCTTAATTCTTGATAATCTAGGAGCCGACTGAAAATGAGTCTGTTATTTTCAAGAATAGTTCTTGATTAATATATTATCAGGTTTTGATTATTTTTTTTATTCAGTTTGATTAATTTGTTATCAGGTTATTATCAAGTACTATCAGGAATTAAGATCTACACTATATGCTCAGATGTTTTATCACCTATTTTGTATTTTTCTTGAAGTAGTAAACGATTAAAATTTCGTGAATGCAAATTAGTGATTCCAATTTTCGTGATTAAACAATTTTCTATAATAATCTGTTTATTCTTTTCAAAATAATATATACTTATATATTGTGTTTTAGTACAAAAGTCCTGCCAGTTTGAAAATTCAGAGTTATGTGGTTGGGAGATATATCACAAGTTCATTCAAAACAGCAGAAGAAAGAGACAAGTTGAAGATGATCATGTATACCAATGGATTGCTATTCAAGCCAAAGATGATCATACTAAGGTCGGTAATAAAATGTAAAATAGTAACAAACATTTATAAGCTCATAAGTCTTTTATATTAGTATTTTTAATAAAAATGTTTTTCCCAGGTGAAATTTCAAAAAACACTCATCAGTTAATAAAAGTTTTCCGTTATGAAACACTAACGAACATTCATATGTTGATAAAATCTTTCTACAATAATGTATTAGCATTCATAAATGTATAATATTATCCATAAATAAAATGCTATCAAATAAGATGACCTATAAATTGCTAATTTAAGTTTCTAAGTCAGATTGACTTTGAGCAGCAAATCTAAAAGCAACGAGTTTTCGTTACGCTAACGTTAATGTAAAGCATATGTTAACAGCGGTGACACTTTTTTTAATTTAGAGAGACTAAAAAGTTGAATTCAATTCCTAATTTTTATATTTTTAAATTCCAGATCAATATAAAATACCGTCCAAAAGTGGATCACACAACAAACACGACAGAGGGATGGTACTTAATGGCTGACGGTGCACCTGGCATTGAAGGAGATGTCACTTCATTGGGATCACCGGAAATTTCTGCATCTCACGCACTATGTGCTCTGGACTTTTGGATTTATAGAGGAACTTCTTATAACACGTTGAGCGTCTCAGCTGGAAAGGATGGCTCTTTGCAAAAACTCTGGAGCGTATGGGACGATATGCCAGGATGTAAGTCATTCAGTAAACCTTAATTGAATTATTACCCTATTACCCAAGTCAAAATTCTTGATGGTCCCATCAAAAAATTTTGATGGATATAATGTTGGTTTTAGTGCGATTCATGATCGTCCAACATCACTTGATGGTCACCATCATCCAACATTTTCCATTATGCGTTCATGATTTTTGAGATGCCAACAAACTTCCATCATTCCACGAGTCTACACTAATGGTATCTATGATGGCCGACCATCAAGAGAGGAGGTTTGATTCTCATGGACCAACAATCCGTGATGGTTCATGATGAATTCAACTTTACATTTCCATGATGGTTTAGTTGGAATTCTTGTTGGTTCTCAAGAGTATACCATCAAAACAATTTAGTTTTTTTGTATATTGAACCATCATAAACCAGTCCGAATTCCTACACTGGGATGATGATTTTTCATGATAGTTTCAACATTTGATTTCTGAGAAACCATGATGGAAATTTCTAATGGTTCAACATGAACAAAACCATCACAAGTTGCTATTTTTATGTTGGACCATCATAAATCAGTACGAATTCCTATATTGTGGTGATGGTTACTTATGTTGGCTACCATCAAAAAATAAAATGATCCATGATGGAATTATTGAATTTTACCATAAAAATTATGTTGATCCATCAATGGAAAACCATAAAAAAATTTTACTTGGATAATCTTACATTATTTGAGATGCACTACTATGCTCTATTTATTATTTTATTTTTTACCAAGCATTGTTTATAAATTACCTATCAATGTCTGCTTGAAACAAATTTCAAAAACGCGTGTGATTTAAGAATAAGTTTAAAAAGAAGATTCTAGTTTTAGGCTTATTCTATTTCTATATGTGCTAAGAACGACGGTTAAAGTTTTGCAGGTAAAAGACGTCTTGATCTTTAATACCTTAATCCAGAAAAATAAAGCCGCCTTAGGCAATATATGTACAGGGTGTCTGAAAAGGATGGAAGAACCAAATATTTCGAGGAATGCATATTGGATCAAAATTTAAAAACACGCAGGTGAAATACTCCTGAAATGTACATTTAATGATAAAAAAAATCTTCCGCCACCCCTTATCTATTCCTGGGTGATGGAAAGTTAAAATCTTAAGTGGAAAGAATTCCCATTTTTGTTACAGATTTTGATTATCTAGAAAAAAGTAACCCAATGCAGGTTTTCCGTTTTTGTTCACAGATAACGCTGTAACTACAAAATAAAAACGAGTTTAATCATTTTTTTAATTGGATATATCGCGATAAACGCATGCCAGACCGAAAAATACAGAAGTTTTTTTATTTTTTGAAGGAAAAAAAAGTTTTCTCGTATTTATCTTATCGAACTACCTAATATCTTATCGAACTCGGATCCAACTCCCTTAAAGTCGCAATAAAGTCGTAAACTGCTTAGCGCTTGACTATCTATAGATTTATATGTTTCTCAAAACACTAAGTCACGTGCAAAAAGAAGCCATGTTTTTTATAATAGCCTGATTTTTGATCTATGAAAAATGACTTCTTTTTTATTGTCTCTGTTATTTTAATTTCTTGAAGTAATTTTTTGTGTGGTATTTTGTAATTAAAATGAACCATAATTTTTGTTTTAAATAAATACCTTTTAGTATACTTTTTTTTAAGTATTGATGTTTAAATCCTTTGTTTTATAGTTTGGGGAGCAAAAGGATGGGAACATGCCCGAGTACCATTAGGTGCCCTGAACAAATTTATTGTACGCTTTGATGCAGTGCGACCTCGAAGTCCTAACAGCATAATGTGTTTGGATGATATATCATTCCAACAGTGTGAACCACCCGAAGATCCTGACCCAGAAGAGGGCAGATGTGACGGTGCTCAGTATCCATGCAAGAACAATAAATGCATCGCTGATAATTTGCTGTGCGATTTCAACGATGACTGCAATGATTACAGTGACGAAAGAGATTATGTCTGCCAGGCTTTTGTGGGTCGTTGCAACTTTGAGGGAGCACCATGTACTAACTGGCACTTCGAAAATTCAGGCAGAGCTCAGTGGTCTATTATAAGCCCTAAAACGTACAAGTACTCTGGCGTACCTAAAACGGATCATACCACCAAGTCACTTAAAGGTAAGTACGTTTTACAAATGCTATAAAAAATTTAGCAATTATCTTTCTTTGGCTCTTACGCTCTCATACATATATTCTGAAGTTATTGCTCATGTCCAAGACCAGATTCTTTAAAACTGCAAGTTTTTAGTTACTCCAGAACACACTTAATCTTGTTAGGACATGAAACGACATTGCTAAATCTCGTAAAATATATTTCAAAGTTTTTTTTTCTGAATTATTTCATTACATGCAATTAATTTTCTCTCAACTTAGTTATCATGGTTGCAATAGCTGTTTAGTTACTCCGTGGAAAAACAGTCTACATTCCTCAATGAATCTGAAGCAATAAACGTAACTTTTCGTTTCAGAAAACAAGATAATTCCTGAGTTTAGAATCCCGGATAACAAATGTTCGAGCAATTTCAGGCATTTGCGTTTCATGAAGCTTCTAAAATTCACTCTTTATTAGTCTTAAGGGAATTGTATCTAACAAATGATCTGTTTAGTTGTGTGGATTGCGTAAGTTTGGAATAAAATGAATCTCACAGCCATTGGTTAGATTTGATATTTGATTCTTTGATTTGGATGTGAACCCTAAATCTGATCCTTTTTTTTCGGTGAAAGAATGGTTTCTTACTTTCAAAACACTTTTCAGTTTTGTGCTGAACGATTCTTTATGGTCAGAGAATTTTTTCAAATAGAATAATGCATGTCAAATGCTTACATTATTTCTATGTTTTTAATTTTGAATCACACGTGCATGTTGCACTGTTGAAAGACTTATTCCAAAAATATTGTAGTTTGAAGTTATATGCACTATCTTCCAGAAGACAGTTCTATTGCATTTTGTATAGTTCCATGTATTGTATAGCTCCATGTTTAGTCTCATGTATAGTTCCATGCATGAATCATATCATCTGGAATATAAATTTTGAGGTAAAAATACAATAATAATTTTTAAGAACGATTAATGAAATTTATTGCAAAGAATATTTTCTTCAATGGATAGAATATTAAATTAATTTTCAAGTGCACTAAAAATATTTCTCCTTTCCTTTTGCGCTAAATACATCATTTCTCTTATGTTGTCACGAATCTAAATAATGTAATATTGTAATAAATCTAAACAATCTTTCTTAAAACTTTTCTTTAAAAGAATGTGATGGTCTGGGGAAATTTAAAAATCAATATTAAAAAAAAATACATTTTTATTATAGGTCAATTCCTATCTGTTCCATCATATTATTACTCAAGTAATTTAAAACCAAAGATTCGTTCTGATACTATAGATGGTCAGTCAACTGACTGCAAGGTATGTAAGATGCATTTGCTATATATATATATATATATATGTTTTTTAATTTTTTTTTTATTTTCTCAACGAGGGACTCTTGAAAACTTTCAAGAAAAACTGACAAAACTTCTACATTGTTACAGTAATTGTCTCAAAATATTTACTGTTAAAAAAATTTCTCATTATTTACAACAGTAAACATGTAGAAAAAACGATAGGGACCCACATCTTTATTGCTCTATTCACTACAGTTTACAGTCTCCTTCGCAACCCAGTAATATAATTTATGTGAGTTGAATCTAATTTACTTTAACTTTAAATAAAAAAATTTTAAGCCAATTATAGTTCTTTTTTCAACTTATATTAGAGTTGGGTAAAGCGAATTATCAAAGTGATTTGAATCAATACAGTTCAATTAGTTGATTCGAATTACTTGCTAGTTGATTTGAATGACCGGGTCAATTTAGTGATATATAGAGCTAGAGTGTGTTGCTTGAAGCCAAGTACACTAAATTGCGAATATTATTGAACTGTTTCAGCTCTTTATGTAATATAACTTTAATTATTTTATTTAAACATTTTTTACTAGAAATAACTGTTTAACTAGAAAACTTAAGTTTTAGCAGAAAAGTAACTGAGTGTTTGACACATAATCGAATGAATGATTGAATAAAAGAGCATAGTTTTTGAGAGATAATTAATTTTCTATAGGTATAGTCATTTTATGTCATTTTGGCATATAATTGGAGTATAATTGGATTAGGGTATCAAAAGTAAGAATACATACGTATAATTTTGGAGTTCCTATCAGATTCAATGAGTGGTTGGTTAAGCTAAATGTGGTTGTTTAAGCCAAAAAGAAAATCCCAGTTTCGCTTACGTGGTAAATTTGGTTCTCAACCAGATACAGAATGTTTCTCTTATGTTGAAACTTTCTAATTACGTTAGTTACAGATAATCTAACTCAGAAAGTTTGGATCGTCATAAATTGAAATAAGTTATGTTTTTTTTTTTTGCATTTGTTAACAGGTTCGATTCTGGTTCAACACTGTTAACTTCCCTCATAAGATAAATGTTTATAAGCGAATTAGCTACGATGAAGATGGAATGAAATTCATAGATGCATTCTACAGTGATGTGAACAACTACTGGCACCGTGCAGAATTGGAAATTAAAAATGTTGACAAAGTCGATTTCCAGGTAAGTTTTATAGCTACTTAAAATGAATTATTTAATTTTATCATAAATTAATTTAGTTTATTTAAATTTAATCAAAATAGTCTTAGATAAAAATATTTCCACACCATTCAATTATAAAATAAATATAGAGGGTCTTAGAAAATTAATGGTCATAAATGTAAAAGTGATGTAACGTACCAAAACAAACTACTATTTTCTCAATACAATTCGAAATTGTTATTTAAAGAGTGAGCTGCGAGAGGATGCTAGATGGAAAAAAAAGAGAGCAATAAAATTTGGAGAAAAAAAATTACACTTGAGTAGCTTTAAATTTTTAAAAAAAAGTTAAATATTGTAATTTGAATTTGAGATCGACCGTTATTAGTAGGTAGTTGAAATGAGGAATAGTTTATCAAATCTAATCAGGGCTGAAGGCCTATATATATCAAGACGGAAAAAAGCAAAAACTGGTACAAAAAACTTTCATTCTAAAATTTTTTTGGAGAAAATTTTTTTGCAACTACCAAGATTGTTTTTTACAATAATAGCATAGATATAAAACTGCTTAGTTTAACTTGTATTTTATTGTGTTCACATTATGTTTTATTAATAATCGAGATTAATGATAACTAATATGAAATTAAAGAAGGAACTAGACTAGTAATTAAATATTTAATTATTATTACCAATTAAGTTAATTTTAGTTCTGTTAGTTAATTGCTATTTTTAGCAGTTTTGTAATTTTTATCTAAGCAAACACCTATCTGTAAAACTATAATGCATTGATTGTTTAAAATATAAACTTATATTTGACTAAATTTTATATCATTTTCAGATTGTTTTAGAAGCTGCTCTGGAGCCACGAATGGGAACAGTAAACATTGATGACATTTCATTAACACCAGGATGCCATTATGCTTCAGGTAATAAAAATTAAATGTGCTATTTATTTGCATGCATAATGTAAAAATTTTAATTACTACTTTATATATATATATATA